GGCGTGAGCCACCGCGCCCAGCTCCTTATTAAATTTTTGAAATAGCTTATACTTCTCACTGGGATTATCTGAACAGATGCCTTCCCCCTTACCCTGTCTCAGTTTTGTGTTTTGCTTTTTGTCAGGGGAGAAAGACAAGTGGGCGGTATCATTTAACATTTGACTGCCACCCTAGAAAAATTTTTTTTTCCTTGGGGCCACAATGTTTTATTATGAAAATAGAATAAAAACTTCAAAAACAAAATGATCCTTTCTAATTTAATGAAAAATGAAATTTATTGACTTCTATTCATTTAATCCATGTTTTTAGAATTCATGTGTCAATACTAATTGTAAAAATAAGATCATCAACAAGATTTTCACAAACCAACTGCAAGGTTTTGCTTCAGGAGGCACTGGGCTCAAAACTAGCGTGAGTCAAATAAAACTCACATGGCAGTTAATGTGTTAAAGAGCACTGGACTTAATAGTAGTAGACTTGGATTCTAGACCTGGCTTTGTCACTTAGTAGCTCAGGTACCCCAGGTAAGTCACTTGCCCTCTTTGATTCAGTTCTCATCTATAAAACAGGGTGGCTAGAAAAGATAAGGAACTAAAGGCAACCAACAAGGTAGGAAACTCTTACTGTTTTAGGAAGAGGATTTTGCCCCTTTGGTTTATAATAGAAGACCAGGCTGCCCCAAAGAGCCTCCTATTTTATCCATAGCCCCTGATGTTAAAGGTTAATGGGAATGGAGTTTCCAACAGCAATCATTCATTATAAATAAATTTCAGGAGACAAGAGTTTCAAAACTGGAATTTTAGAGGTCTTCTGACCACCCCCCCACCCCACCCCCGTTTTATGGGTAATGAAATAGAGGCCCAGAGCAGTTGTAATATGTACAGTCACAGTGAGTAGAATCTTGGACCCCATGTTTCTCTGTTCTCTGTTAACACCCTTCACCCCCAACCACTTTGACACCTACAATGAAATGCTTATTAACAGAATCTTTGTGCAAGTGTATTTCAACAGTATCTATTCTTTATGATACAGCTGGCTGCAATTAACCATGCTAAGTCTTTATAACTGCTTCTGATATTCATTTGTAATTGCTTTGTTCACAGTTAGTAATAAACTTTGAAAGAAATACTAAACTTTGTTAGAATTAGTGCCAAGTTTCCACTACATCCATTCTAGTTTATTTCTTCTAAAACCTTTAAATTTTAGATGTCTCTTTTAAATAATTTGCTTAATTTTGTACAATTTTCTTAACCACAGTATCCAAGCAATTCATAAGGTGATTACAATCTAAATGAGGGTATAAATGCCTATTAGATCTACCTCACTAAAGAATGTGGTTGTATTCTTGTGAAGTTTCCAGACTCACTTACAAAAACAGAATGCTATTTTCTTTTTGCTGTCTTTAAGCTTCTTTTTAGACTAATTCAGAACTAGTATGTAATTTTCCTTTTTTGCTGTAGTATGTGGTATAACATCATTTCAATTGGAATTAAGAATTAAGGTAGAAATAGCAGATGTTTCAAATTCTCCTAAATTAGTCTGTTAGGTATGCTGGCTTCAGCGTCCTGCCACTGGGTCAATAATCTTGTTGAACTTGTGAGGATTTTGCTGGTGTTATATATATATATATATGTGTGTATATATATATAAATTACTGTTAAATGAGGACCCAAAATCAAAAGTTTTGGTTCTTTTGATTAAAAATCTAGAATAGTAAACATTTTTGCAAACAGTGAATATACCTGACATCAGCACTTTCAAGTTATATTCTATATTCCTTATGGTTCTGTCTCATAACCTGGATCTGATTTGAAAAGTTGTAGCGCCGTTTGGGTGTCCTGTCCACCTTCTGGTTTGTTTCTGCAGATCACTTGTTAAAGCTTAATTTTAAGCCTATTTTGCCTACTTTCTTTTTTATATCCTAATAGACTTCCCTTATATTATTACATGTTTCCCTTTTGCTCTAATATTTCATTATTTCCCAGTTTGTTGGTACCATTAGAGGGACAGTGAAAGAACACACCAGTTGACCATTGTGTTTCTCAGGAAATCTGAGCAATACGATCCTTTTATTTGTAAAACTGAATCATTACTTGTAAGAGCTTTCACTTTTAAAATAATCAATCATTGCTTGCCATTCCTATAAAAACCAAAGCTGAAACCTTTTCTGAAACACAGGATGTCTATAGCCATGCATTTCAGGCAAGCCTGAAGACATGTCTGCTCTTAAGCCTCTCCTTTTAAGTAGGGCAGCCACTTGTATACCCTCCGGTGGCCTACCATTTATCCACTCTAAGGTAGCCCTGGTACTTTCCTAAGTGGCCCATCCTACAGAGCACCTATCAGAGTTTGGCCTGCTGTTGGTGAAGGCCCTCTCTCTTATTAGCTTCATAAAACTCATTTCCACAAGCAGGGATCCTAGACAAATACTATGGTTTCTAGTATTTGTTACTATGTTGTGTTTGAAATTCTCATTCTACAATTCCTCTTTAGTGGAAGCCCTGAGGTGTATGCCATGTCTATTATTTCTACCTTGAACAATGGCCTCTGCAGTGTGTTGAAAGGTATCTTTTTATTATTATCGACAACTGGACACTCCACCAGTTGCTGCCACCAAAGGCTGCCTGTATTGAATTGCTTTTGAGGGCTGTTAAGACTGTATGTTTTTCTAATGCCTCACATTAAATAATTATTTTGTTGAACAGTCCTTAAAATTTAACATTGTAAGTCAGTATTGAGGAAAATGTGCAATGCATGTTAGAGAAGTGACACATTTTCCCTTATGCAGGGACGTGCGTATATGTGTTATAATACATATGCCGATATATAACCCACCACCTGAGGACCAGAAAGATAGCTGTAGATAAATAAACTGGTTATCCTAAAATCACGATCAGTGTTGGTCTTTGCAACCAACATTGCTTTAGGCAGACCAACACTGATCGTGATTAGCAGTTGCTAATTGTTACCTGTACTACAAGGAGAGCATGTGTCAATGTAAATTAAAGACAATATCTGGGTTGACTGATTAAGAAAGCCATATGTTTTAATTTCCTTCATGTTATAAAAACAACTGACAGAACTTTTGAGCGATCTTTGAGAATACTAAGGAAAATTCATTTAATCCTATACGTATGTAATGACTTTTTTGGGAAAGAGGTGTTTGGGACATCAATCTGTAACCATCCATTTTCTATTTATGCATTCATTCATTCCATGTTTAGTATATGGAATGGTGGTGCTGGGAATAACACAAATAAAAAATTAAGATAATCACCATCAAGAGCTCATAGTTGCCAAAATACAGTTACAGAGCTAAATGCAACCACATGTTTTTCAAATTCATCATCTGTAATTAAAGAAACGTGAACTAAAACATCTGAAACATGAACTTATCTGAGTTGCTACTTTCTTGGAGGGAACTGTAGAAGCATTAACATATGGTTCCTTAGGTCATACTGCCCTCTGCTGACTTAGTTATTAATCAAGGACAACCTGGGTTTGGGGGGATCAGGAGATGATCGTTGGGAACCTGTTGTAGTGACTGCAGTTCCTTTAAAGAATTCTATATAGAAGATATGATATCCTATTAACATACAACAGGATCAATAGATTAAATGATGGGGTGGGGCAGAAATTTGGAGGGAATGGGAATAAGCTGGTCAGAACTTTCTAAGGTAACTAGGCTATTAGGACTTAAGTCAGTGGTCCCCAAACTTGTCTATGTGCGGTAATCACCTGCAAAACTTGAAAAATATGCCTATTACTGCTCCCACATAACGTGATTTAATTGGTCTTAGATGAGGCTTGGGCTTTGGGATTTTTAGGAGTCTAATGTGAGAAGCTGGGAAACAGTTATAGCAATAGTATAAGCCCACCAGGGTACAGGATTTTTGAAAAACCTAAGTCAAACCATCCTGTTTATCTTTGTTTTGCTAAGAACCACCTACGAATGGTACACTGTAGGTCACACTGAAACTCACAGCATACTGGAACTGAGATCATCTAGTTTAGAGATTGCAAATGGACAAACATTAGGGCATTTATGGCTCTCACACATGTTAAGCCTGCATAACATTTTTAAAAACTTGAAATTAGTTGCCAATACTTAGAGTGTTCATATAAAAATCAAGCTATTTGGCTTCTTTAAAAAAACCAGAAGATCTGATAACTTTGGACCTGCAGAGCAGTACAGGACAGAGCTTAGTAGTAGTTTAGTAGTAGTATCCTCTGGATACTCACTTAGTGGTCAAAGTCCTGCTTAAATTTGGTACCCAGAGTGAAATGTAACACCTTAGGGGTATTGATACAACTAGTAGTACACTAATTTTTCTGTGTGGTCATGTGATAATATAAACAGGTGGTTCATGTTGAGCCTAAGGCCAACTGAAATCCCCTAGTCTTTTTTTATACGAAATAATACAAGGCCAGGTTTCTTCACCCAAATGTATATAGCTTATTTAATTTAAATGAATATGTTAAATTTATAATCTGTTTAATTTCATCTTGATGGGGTCACTTTGGCACTCTGTTGATTTGTTGCTGTCATCTGTTAGCAATGTTGGGTTGCCCGACCTCAAATCAGATGTTTCTGATGCCTTCATCCAAATCACTGATTTAAAAAATTAAGTTAAATAAGACAGAGCTCTGTGACATATCAATAGAGACCAAAATCACACCATTTTAGTAGTCAACAATTTGTTTAAATGTCTGAATAGATGTCCATATATTACACCATCAAGGCCATATTTTTCTTACTGACAAGGCTTTAGGAAACCCTTTCAGGAACCAATTTATACTGTCTATTCCACTCCTAGCAATATAACAACACAATCAAAAGAAAAACTAGGTTAAGTGCTTGATGAATCCAAGTGGGTTACTAATGATTACTTCCTTTTACAAGTACTTATAAACCATTTTGCTGCATAGACACATTAAGCTTGTCAAAATCTATGATTTCCCCATTTTTAAAAATCAGGATACTAGAAGTCATTAGCTATTTTTTGCTGTAGGCTAGCTGGCTACTTTAGTATGTGCCAATCCCCCCCTTTGAATCTTCACCCGATGGAAATGAAATTAAGATCATAAAGAAATTCTACTTCAGCAGAATTCAGGACTGAGGAGAACAAAGAGACGTAAATCATGCATGTAGAACCACGACCCTGCCAATACTGAGAAACCTGAGATAGAGCCTATTAAGCCACAAATGGCAGACATTTCTTTTTCAATGTGAAAAGTAACAGATTTAAACAGGAACTTTTAGTGTTACCATACTTAATGCCATTCTTGATCCAGTGATTATCTCAAAACAGGCAAAGAGTTTTAAATAACTTGACCAATTGGAAATCTCTTGGTATGCCAAGGCCATCCTGGTAGAAAAGCCCAGGTTCTTGTGCTCTCTGATAAACTATCAAAAGCACAGTTTCAGTCCTAGGAAGCTGATCCTCTGAGAATTATTTTGGGATTCTTCGGAGTTCATTCATGAGCCAAAGGGCACTACTAAGCAGAGCCAAGGAGCCTGACTGGTGAGTGGCAGCCAAAGGAGTTGGAACATACATCAGGAGAGTACTAATGCCCAGGCCCACCTGTTAAAAAGGAAAGAAAGCAATAAGAAAAGCAATAACCACACATTCGGACTGAAAATGACCAGACGTGGATAACCAGATACACAAACCTCTATACTCTCCCATCATTATATATTTAAAATATATATCTTTTTAATTTCACAAGCAAATATGCTTATAATGATGGAAATCTCAACAGAATAGATAAACCTAAAATTCCCCTTAATTATCTTTCATCCCATCCCAGTTCCCTGTTACCAGTTTCTACACACTTGTACTTTTTTGTGTTTTTTTAAAGAAACCGTTTTGCTCTATCACCCAGACTGGAGTATGGTGGTATAATCATAGCTCAGTACAACCTCCAAATCCTGGGCTCAAGCGATCCTCCCAGCTCAGCCTCCTGAGTCTCAAGGACAGGAGCACACCAGCATGTCCTGCCACTTTTTAGATTTTCTGTAGAGATGGGGTCTGACTAGGTTGCCCACATTGGTCTTGAACACCTGGCCTGAAGTGATCATGCCACCTTGGCCTCCCAAAGTAATAGGATTACAGACATGAGCCACCAGGCCTGGCTCCCCACTTATATTTTTGTATAAATGTTTATAGAGAAACATAACAGTTTTGACCTTTTAAAAAATATATTCTTCTGTCAGTTACTTTTTTTTTTCACTTAACAGTATATCTTGAGATCTTATTATTTTAAACTGCTGCACAGTATTCCACAGCATGGACATACGATAGTTGTTATTTAACTATTTGGGTTGTTTCCAATTTTTCACTATCGCAATAATTCTATGATGAGTTTCCCTATACAAAATTCTTTGTGCATTAGACTACTTTTAGGGCAGACACTAGTAAGTTAATTTGCTGGACCAAAGGATTATATATTTAACATTCTAAAAGATATTGCCAGATTGCCCTCTGGGATAAGCTACACCAACTCATGCTGTCACTAAGAATATGTGAAGGTATCCATTTTCCCATATCCAGGCCAATACCTGATTATTTTTTCTTTTCCTTTTTTCATTTCTTTCCAATGTGAAAGGCACAAAATGGTACTCATTATTTTAATTTGCTCCTCTCTGATCATGAGTGAAGCTAAACAGCTTTTCCTGTTTATTGGCCCTTCATCAATAATAATTCTCTTGTGAGAATTGTGTGTTGATATCCTTTACTCAGTTTCTGGTTATTAATCTTTTAAACTACTATAAATTATTGAGAATATTTCCTCCTAGTCTGTCACCTTTCCTTTTTAACTTTGCTTTGGGGATACTGTCAGACCAAAAAGAAGTGGTTTATACCTGTGTGTACGCCACAGCCAGCAGAGTCACTGCTGCCACCCTGGTCCTTCTAGGAAGGGGAATTCTCCGGGAGAGGAAGTAGAGAGCTGTAATGGCAGTGACTGAAGTGATTCCCTGCAGGGAAGAAAGAGTCATCACAAGTGCCAGGTTTACATGCATCTCCTCTGGAACCACTGAGCCATCACCAAGTACTTCCCTGCACATGACTGCTCTTCAGTTCCACCCTCATTACTTCTCAGCCTCCTGTACAATCCTCTTCTACTTGCCACTTAAATGCCGGTGTCACCAGGGCTCCACCTAAGGTTCTGCATGTATCACTTTATACACACTTATACACTCCCAGTGACTTTACACCTACCTTCCAATGTGGGTGTCCCCCAGATGTGGCCCTTCCTCCTTAAATAATTATTTGCATACATATCCCTAATTTTACCTCTACTCTAATCTTATGTTCTTAAAGCAGGGCTGACCCCAGCACATAAAGGTTACTATTTTCCTGGGCTGTAAGTGGAGAGGTGGTGCCACTGCTGCTAAGGGCTGAAAAAGACCTGAAGTCTCATTTTCATCCCCACCCCATCTGAACAAGGGTCCAGGACTGGCAATAAGGTTGCCTTTCCCCTTTCCTGATGTCAGGGAGAATGTTTCTCTACCAAATTTCTACATCTACTTCACTTCTTTTCCTTTTCAGAGCTGTACACAATGACAACTTCAACCAGACTTTACTTATGCCAAAATACTGTTTGGAGATGGGGACTGAGCCCACCCAAGGGAACCTGCCCATCCTTAGGCCAGCGCCCCTTGGATACCTGAGTCCTCTGCCCCTGTCTCTCTGGACATACTATTATCACACCCACACTCAATATGCCTCCATTTGATGACATCCTCCCATCTCTAGCTCAACACTCATTCTGATGGTCCCACTTCTGTTGGTCATGTTTTAAGCATGCCACAGAAGAAACTTTAAGATCTCTTTTGATCTTTCTTCACCATTATTCCTAACAGCCAGTCTTTACTAACTCTGTTCCTTTAAATCCTCTCATTCACCATTCTCAATTCCCACTCCCAGCACATAGCCTCAATGCCATCTCTCTCCCTGGCATTGCATATGGCCATTTCCTTGCCACTGATCTTTCCCTGCTCCTATTCATCATGCCCAGGCTGCCACGCCGATCTTACATGGCCCATAGCAGACCCTAAAAACATATTAGCTTAAATACACTGAAAAGCATTGCTAAAGCTCCTGACCCTTGGATTTTGGTTCAGCTCTGATAGCTATGTGCTTGGCAATCATGGTCTCTGCAATGTCCTCTCTACTCAGCTTCATTTCTGCTGAAATGACTCTCGGTATGTGCAGGATTGAGGGATGTTATCATCTGCCAGGTGGTGAAAGGCATATTCACAATTTAAGAAGCTGACAATAACCTGAAAGCTAGAATTTGGCTGGAGAGGGTATAAGTAATGAGGACAAAGATATCAGATCAGAGAAGTAGTCTTAGAATTGCTTCCAAAAAGAAGAGGAAATAGAATTCCTGCTCTACCCTCTCACAACTGCCATCAGTGCTTCCCTGATACCCCGAAGCCTGCGAGAGGCTCCAAGTGCTCTCTCTGGCAGGTAACCACTGGTCATACTTACCAGAATCCGGTGATCAAACTGCACCATAGTAGGATTCTCAAAAACATTCCTCAAGATGGGGGAAAAGGTAAAGAGATCCTCTGGGATCCAGGATTCTCCCATTTTGGGGAAGGAGTTGTAAACAAGCCCGGCATCCAGCCCTGCCACAAAAGCCCCTGTATTCCAAAGTAAACAGTATTTATTAAAATGAGAGAAAGAATAGACCATATACTAGTTCTGTCACAGAAAAGGCCTATTATCCCACAGTTAGACAAAGGGAATAGTCAGAGAATAACTAGTAAGAACTACAATAGAGGTACTCAAATAGGGAATATATATCACAATCACCACAAAAACTTAAACCCCCTCTATCCTTACCTACTCCTACTCCAAGATTCTGCCTCTCCTAGAGAAGTGGACAAGAAGCTCTGAGGGGAGAGGCATAGAGGTTTGGAAAAATTCCCTTAGTGATACTGATGCCCTCCCCACCCACCGCAGAGTATTATTGATCTATTTTGCAAATGCCCTTTCCCCAGATATCTGCACAGCTGATACCCTCACTCCTTAGGTCTCCACTCAAATATCACCTACAAAGAGCTCTGCCTTAACGATCCTAGATAAAATGGCACTCCCCTACCGCACCTCTCTCTATCTCCGTATCCTGGCTTTATTTTTCTTCACAGCAGTGACTATCATCTGACACATTATGTTTTTGTTTTTGTTTTGGAGACAGGGTCTCAATCTGTTTCCTGGGCTAGACTGCAGAGGCATCATCATAGCTCACTGCAACCTCAAACTCCTGGGCTCAAGCAATCCTCTTGCCTCAGTCTCCCAAAGTGCTAGGATTACAGGTATGGGCCACCGTGCCCAGTCCACTAATGTTTTTGTTTTTATTGGGCATTATCTGTCTTCTCTAAGTATTCAATAAATGTCTGTTCAATGAACACAAAAATGAGGAAAACCCCCAAATTTATAAAAACTAAATCCTAGATAAATACATAAAGAGGGTACCCATGAATTAATGGATAACTGATCTGTTATCTATTATCAAAGAAAATTCAGAGAAGTTTGGACTACATTCCTTATTTTTGTGAATGCCACTTATTAAGTCAAAATTCACACTCTCATACCAAAAAAACAAAAAGAAAAATTAAAGAGTTGAGTGGATCACTAGTTTGAATCATTTTTATTCCAGGGAATGCTGTCCAATAGAACTTTCTATAAGAATGGAAGTGTTCTATATCTGTGCTGGGGAATATAATAGCCACTAGTCACATGTGCCTATTTAGCTTTTGAAATGTGGCTGGTATGACTACAGAACTAAGTTTTAAATTTTATTTAATCTTAATTAATTTAGGTTTAAATAACCACATGAGGCTATGGATTCCTCTAATGGCTAGTGCAGTTCTAGAGTGAAAGAGATAGAGGTGGAGGTGTGGTTTAAAGAAAGAAAAGCCTGTGTTGGTCTCTGCACCAATGAACTTCCCACCTTTAACCATCTCTGAGGGCAAAGACTTTGGTCTGACCCATTTTGGTATAATATGATAAATTACATATAATATTTGCATAATAATGTAATAGCTAACACGTAGCCTTTGCTACATGCCAGCTACTGTTCTAAGCACTTCACATATATTATTTATACCACTGTCATAACCTCTATTTTATAGATAAGGTCTCTGAGGACTAGAGAGGTTATATAGCTTGCCAAGGCTATATAGTGGTGAAGCTAAGATTTGAACCTAGGCAGTCTGGATCTAGATACATGTTCAATATTTTGTTCAATTGACAGGAAAGTAGGATTTTTGGAAGGGAGAAGGAAAAGAAAACAGAGGGTGAAGATGGTAGGTATGAGAGATGGGTGTCAAAAGGGAATATGAAGATGCAGGAGGAAGGGGCAAAACATTAGGCAAGAGATCCCACCTCAGCATGGAACGCACACAGGCCACATTTGATGAGAAGAATCCTACCTGAGAGAGCTGTGAGAAACACTAGACCTGCTGTTCCATGAGCAAATCGTCTCAGCCGTAGGAGTTGACGGGTTTCAGGCAACTAAATAGGAAAGAAAATCATCCAGATAAACTATATCGTAGGAACCATGAGAGAAAAACAAAGATCTTTAAGGCCAAACCCTAGTGATAACTTAAGATCAGACTTCTCTGACCCCTAGACTAAGTTAAGTACTCCCAGCAGATATTCTGTTCCAACATGCATTATATTTTACCACATTTACTATCTGTCTTCCCTGCTATCCTGTAAGTTTTGTGAAGGCAGAAACTGCCACCTGTCTATCTCACTATAGTAATCCTAGCCTAGTGATTGGCACATAGGTACTCATTATGTATCTGTTCAATAACCAAATGACTTACATTATTCAGGGAAAAAATGCTTCATCATAGTTGAAGTGATGTGGCTTAATATATATAGGACTGAATTTTCAAGTTGTGTGTGATACCAGTGCTCAGCAAATACAGTTAGAATCAAAAAATGCATAAAAAGCTTAGAGTGGAAATTCTTACATTTAGTGTTTTTGGTAAAGTCAAAATTTTTTTTTGTTTTTACTATAGCCAACTTCTGATACTAATAAGTGAATCATCAAATATTTGTTAAAAACTTTATAAATAGTTGACTACAAAGATATGAAGGCGTTAAGTCAGAACGCTACTCTCAAGTGGTTTACAATCTAGCATATGAAATTTAGGTAACATTACCAAGATATCATAGGACAGTAAATTATTGCTGTCCAATAGAACTTTCTGTGATGATGGAAATGTTTCTATCATCTGTGCCTAATGAGAACTTGAAACATGGCTAGTGTGACTGAAAAATAAACAGTTAATTTTTTTCAAATATAAAGTTTAAGTAAATACAAAGTTTATTTAAATAAAGTTAATTTTATTTAATTAAAATTTAAATAGCCATATGTAGCTAGTAGCTACTGTGTTAGACAGCATAGCACCATATGGCTAATTGACTATCATCTCAAATCCTTTCCATAATTAAGTGGAATATAAGTAAATAAAAAGAGAAAAAGAATAGATAGAAAGTCATCAGTAACCTTTAAGAGTACAATTTCAGTAGAAAACAACTGTGTATATATGTGTAAGTGTATATGGATAGGGTTTGGTGGGGAAGACAATAATAGGGATTGAAAAGAAGGAATGGACTATCAGGAAGTAGAGCTATAAATATCAGCAATTCATTTTGGAAGTCTGGCTTTGAAACTGAGAAGAACAGGAATTATTCAGATATGGATTGTCTACAACATCAATGTTTCAACTCTGTCTGTCTTCTTTATGGGAATGACTCCCAAGTCAACACCGCCAGTCCTTTATGGGATCTAAGCCACTAGCTCCAACTACCTAATGGATGATTCCACTCAAGAGTCCTACCGTCATCTCAAACTTCTCTCCATGAACAGTTTACACAGGTTAACCCACGATTTCAATACCTAATATCATACTCATTTTTTTTAAATACTAGGAAAAAAATGCCCTACAAGGGTGTGGTGGTATTATTAATTAAGGCCTCAAAAGTCTTGCCTTGCTTCTAAATCAAAGCATAAAATGTAAAAACTAGTATTTTCCTTTCATCAGCATATAGAAAAATACTTTTAGACAAAATCACTAAGATTTACTATATTGTTAGCCTTGAATGGCAGATCCTCATTTAACAAACAATACAATATGCCTCTTGTACACCACCAGAAGTTCAGAAATAGGTCTGTCCTAACCTTCCCTGCCTCACCATCCACTGTCCCTTCTGGAGTCAAAGTTAAAGGGGCTGGGATATCTCTTGTTGGGACTCTTTCCCATATATTTTTTTTAATTCGTGTTTCACCTTCCCTCAATAGAAAATATTGACAAAATACTCAGCTCTTATATGATCCAATGGTTCTATTTCTAGATATATATCCAAAAGAACTGAAAGCAGGGTCTCGAAGAGTTATTTGTATACAATTCTACCTTGTGCTGAGGGAGCAGTAGTGAGAGCGAGGTCCACAAGCTGGCACAATAAAGAACAAGGGCTGATCCCAGGTGGGCAGCAAGGCGATACTGGCTGACCCGAGGGATGTCGTGAGAGTCTGGTTTTTCTTCTAATCCACTTTTCACCATATACCATCCCAACAGACCCTAGAACCCCAAAGAAAAGAGGCAAATAAAACAAGGTTGAAACTGTCTGTTCAACTTTACTGAGGAAGTGAGTTTTATCATGAGTATCCCTACCTAACCCCTCCTCTTTCCATACCCTCCCATATACCTAGTGTCCCAAAAGTCAAGACCTATCCACAATTCTACATATATTGCCATTAATATTTAACCACTCTTTAGAATAACATTTTACTGAAGTATAATTCAAATATATAAAATGGCCCAAAATTGTATTTGCATGCAAAATCTTACAAATACTTGATATAATTTGACATTCTACAAACCAGTAAAATATGAAAATAAAAAGGTAACTGATTTTATGAAAACTAGATTGAAGCTTTAGAAAAGCTTAACAAAGGTAACTGCTTAAAAAATAATTACCATTAAGTTAGGTGGGAATAAGACAATTATAAAAGTTTTAGGGAGAAATCATAAAAATCTGTAAGGTTTTGCATGCAGATTGCTTTACAAATATCTAAGTTCTTAGTCTTAAGGAAAATTAAACTCGAAATCACAGTTTATGTTTAGGGAGATACAAGAGATATGGGGACTCACAGTCAAAGAAAAGGCCTTGGCCCTGGATTTACAAAGTTGTTAATGAAAAAAGTACAATTTCAAGTTTAAAAGTTGACAGTGTTTATCATATTCTACAATTCTCGGCTTTAATTGGCTTTTTCAATCAACCAAATATCTGTTAGTTCCAATCACATCAGATAAGATACAATCCTTTCACCCCTACTCTCCCAAACCAGTAGAATCATGTCAAAGAGCTGAGATTCTGCCACTTCTACTACACATATACTTTTCAGGAAATATTTTTGGGCATTTCTTTCCCCTTTCAAGATTACCCTGGATACTGTAATTACCTTGATTTCACCTGCATGAGACACTGAAAGATGAAGGCATATACAGTGTGATTCACTGGCACTGACTTTTTTCTTCTCATAACCCTGACACCTTCAATTTCTGCCTGCCTAGTTATCTGTTTTTGGTCTTGGGTTTTGTTCTTTTTTTTTTAATTCTAAAATATAACTCTCATTTTGTTCCACCTACCTTTCCCTAGTTACTTTTATTGGTGTCGAACTCTGTTTCTATTGCCTCTATTTCTTCTCTCTCACCTCCCTCCTTAACCACTTTGGTATGAGCGTCGACTATAGTCGATAGCCACTGATGAATGTGCACAGCCGAGTGTGGACTTTAGCCAACAGCCGTGATAGGAAGGTGCACAGCTGAGCGTCGACTTTGGTCTATAATTTTTTTTTTTTTTGAGACAGAGTCTCGCTTTGTTGCCCAGGCTAGAGCGAGTGCCTTGGCGTCCTAGCTCACAGCAACCTCAAACTCCTGGGCTCGAGTGATCCTTCTGCCTCAGCCTCCCGGGTAGCTGGGACTACAGGCATGCGCCACCATGCCCGGCTAATTTTTTCTATATATATCAGTTGGCCAATTAATTTCTTTCTATTTATAGTAGAGACGGGGTCTCGCTCTTGCTCAGGCTGGTTTTGAACTCCTGACCTTGAGCAATCCGCCCGCCTCGGCCTCCCAAGAGCTAGGATTACAGGCGTGAGCCACAGCGCCCGGCCTTGGTCTATAATTTTGAATTGACTTTTCTAATTTCTCATTTACCAAAATAAAATTGTGAACATTTAAAAACAACGTAATAAAAACATATATGTATATGTTACCTATTCTGATTTACATTACAAGCTGCCTGTAAAGTAAAACAAGCTTTCAGTGCTTTAAAGCTTTCCTCATCACACAAGAGCAAAACGGATTCGTCAATGCACAGCACAAACTATCGTGCAGACTATGAGTGCTGGCTGTGGGCAAGGTTTCGTGACTGGTGAGCGCCGTACCAAAGTGGTTTTAATCTCTCATAATTGGCTCATCTTACCACTTCTGAGTTAAATTAACTAATTAGCTTCCTCCTGATCAAATTATGATGTTTCATTGATGCACTGATACTCTCCCTTAGGATCTCTACACCTTGGCCCAAATACTCCTACGTGTCCTCTCCTAATTCCTTTTCTTGGCTCTAGATTTCACCCAACTGCTTAACGGTGGAAATCTTTCAAAGCTCTTTTCTTTAAGAGTTCAACTTATGTGATTTTAGTCATCATTTATACTAGAGTATCTCTGAGCTGTATCTATATTGTAAGATACTTCATCCCACATAATGTTTCTCTCTTTTGGAACTTTCCGACTTGCTTCTGTAGCCATTCTAGCATAGGGATCCCACTTTCCCACAGCAGGCAAGTTAAAAAGAGGGAAGAGACAAGAACCCAAGAGGAGAGCCATGATGGGAAAGTAACTCTACTTCTTATGGCACATGAAAATATACTACTGAGTGCTTACTGATTCCAGACACTAAACCAAGTACTTTATATGCATGATCCCATTGAATAGTCACACAACTCTAAACGATAGGCACTGTTATGATACCCACTTACAGAGGTTACATGATTTGCCCTAAGTGGCAGAGCGGGGGCTTAAAGCCAGGCCTACGACACATGCTCTTACTCACTCTGTTATAGTACCTCAAATATTACTTCCTTAAAAACAATGCCAACTAGGAAGCTCCTGGGAGCATCTCTGGTTTCCCAATCTTGAATAAATCTTACCTGGAAGCAGACTAAGCCACAGAGGGCAAGAACACGTCCTTTCATGCTACGACTGAGCCAGCCCTTTCTCCAAAAGTAGGCAGCAGGCAGGATGTATGCGAGGCCTACAAGGCGACCCCACATTCGGTGTGAGTACTCCATGTACCAGATGAACTTGAATTCTGCCAATGTCATATCATGATTCAAGCTGGTGAAATGGGAAGTCAAAAAAAAGAATGAGGAAATATCCATCTGATTTTTATTTTTCTACAAAATGCAGAAACATTCTCAATCTTGCAGCTTGGTATGTCTGCCCTCTTCCTCATCAGTGACCTCAGAATGACTTTGGAATTGGAGGCTTAGAAGAGGCAGCTCACTAAACATAAATGAGCTAAAGATCAAGAAATAAAGCAATCTAACCATTCTGGAGGGTTTAAATAAGCAAAATATTGAATGGGCCTAGTGAGATATTTACCTGATTATTAGTATCTCTAATACTTACATTTTAAATTCTGGAAATTGCTGGTATCTTTGGAATTCTGCTTCCCATTCCTCTTGGCTTGTAGGTGGCTTCATCTCCTTTATTAAATGCCAATCTACCATTGAGAGGCCAGACTCTGTTAACCTTAGGATAAGAAAGAAATTTTGGGATGTGTGTATGATGCTGGATTACTCATGAAGAGTTTAGAGCAACAAGTGTAGCTGAACTTAACTCCTCTAAAAGTAAACACATAGTTTCATTGTTTCCTCTTTTCATACCTTTCTCTCTTTCTGCTTAGAATTTTGTCAGAAACAGCTGTCATCTGGTACAAATTTCTTTATCCTCATATTTTCTCAATCCTTTCCTCCAATTTTCCCCGCTTCTTTCTTTCACTAGCATTCCTTAACAGGCAAAATCAACCCCTAGACCAAAGAAATATGTCCTAAATGCATAACCAACATTATATATACAGGGAAATGAGATTTGATAGAGGTATTCAAGTTTAGGTTCTTGAGTGAATCTGAAGACAATAAAACTCAAATTTGTTGCAGTTTCCCATAAAAGTCTATATGACACATATGGTATTTTGAAATAAGGGCACAGGGAATGTGGAAAGAATTTGAGGAAGACCCCTTTTATTAAAACCAGAAAGTATTTTCATCAAAAGGAGTTAGGGGTCCTACCATAAAAGGCTGATTTTAGGCCTAGGCAAGAAATCTAGAAGATGAGCCTGGAACATATTATTATATCAGAAAGCAAGGAAGCTATCAAAGGTGACTAGGGTCCTGTTAAAGATGCCAGAGCCAATTTCAAGGGATTCCCCCAACTAAAGATGTGATAATTTGGGCAAATCATCAACACCATCATTGCAATGGACTGAAACATATTAACTGTGTTTAAACCTATGAACTCATAATACCGTGTTTCCCGAATGTGTTTAAACCTATGAATTCATAATAATACCGTTTCCCTAAAAATAAGACCTACCCTTAAAATAAGCCCTAGCAGGATTTCTAAGCATTTGCACAATATAAGCCCTATACTGAAAATAAGACCTAGTGATGGGCGTGGCTACGCAGCATATCTGCACAACCCACACATTTCATCACAGAGCAGTAAAGACTATAAGCAGCCCTTCTCATCTGCCCCATCGTGACAGCTAGTATCCCAGAGGTGACCGGAAAGGTACAGGCAGCCCCACCCAACAAGGTTGGCTCCCCCTGTCAAGTCCCGGCCATCCTGTGCCTGCTGCAAGCTGAGGCTTCGAGGGGAAAGTCTCCTCAGTGAAGTGAGGAGCGGGATGCTCCGCTTTAGGTATTGTGTATCCCCAGGGGGAAGAAGAAAAGCTGTGGCTGCCATTTTACTCAGCACTGTGGGCCTCTCTCACCCCCCACAAACACCAGGGGATAGGAGAAAAGCATCAGCAAGCAGTCTCCTACTGAGCCCAGAGAGATCATTTCTGCTCCACTGTGCAGACTGGACCTAGTGCTCCCGGGATCGCTGATAAATAAGCCAGCCCTTACATATCAGCTTTGGTGGCCTATCTCTGCTTTTCCTGAGTATCTGTGCCCCAGGACAAGATAAGTGCAAAAAGAAAGAGCTATTCTGTTGAGTATAAGAAAAAAATTATGGAGGACTCCAAGGGCAAGAATCTTACGGCTTTCTGCAAAAAGAAGTTGGACATCCGAATAGTCCGAAAATGGCGGGCAGAATACGATAGCCTCAGTCTACATGTGGATAGAGGAAATGCTAAGAAGCACAAGTGTGGTTCAGGTCAGCAACCTTTATTTCCTGAGCTGGAAGACACGATCAGTGAATGGATTGCTGACAGGAAAACAAAGGCTTTGGTTGTGCACAGGGCTGATATTCAATGATTTGCCCTTGCAATGGCACCACAATTAGAAATATCCCCAGAAGATTTCAAAGCATCACAACACTGGCTGGATGGCTTCCTTCAGTGATATGAACTGTCTCTAAGAAAATCAACAACACTGTTTAAGTTAGAAGATGCTAAAGTTATTAAGTGAGCACTTGCATTCAAGTCCTTTGTTGATGGCATCGACTTTTCTAAATACCAACTTTGCAACATGATTGCTATGGATCAAACTGCAGTGTTTATGGATCAAGGAGCCCAAATGACAATTGAACAGAGGGGTGCCTCCTCAATCTACGTTCCCTCCACTGGTCATGAAAGCTCACGCGTTGCCTGTATTTTGGTAATTCATCTGGGTGGAAAGAAAGTCACACCTCTTATCATCACTAAGGGCAAGAAAGATAAGATTGAACGGTGTTTCCAACATTTATGTTCTTGAAACCGAAAAAGCCTGGTGCACACAAGCAGTTAAAAGGAAGTGGCTTGATTTAATGCTGCCACTTGTTTTCCAAAGTGGCCAAAGAGGTCTGCCAATATGGGATTCAGCCAGCACTCACCATGCTAAAGACATGAAGAACTTCCTTGCAGAGAGAAGAATAGATCAAATAATGATTCCTGCAGGAATGACTGCCTATCTGCAGACTCTTGATATTGCAATAAACAAGCCATTCAAAGACCATTTGTGCATGGAAATTAACGACTACATTGAAAATAGAATGACAAGAAATCAGCGTGGAAACTTTGTGAAGCCTAGCCTGCAAGAGGTCGTGATTTGGGTGAAGAATTCATGGGATAAAATCACTGACAGTATTGTTATCAATGCACTCCAAGCAGGTTACATGGATAAGAGCTGCTCATTTAATGAGAGCTCTGTTGCTTGACATGAGAGATCGAGGCCAATGGTTCTAAAGGAAATAGAGTCGCAAGAAATTCAGGATGATATTAGTGTCACTAAAGTTGGTATTCAACCCCCCACTGCTAAATTTGACTGGCTTTAAAAAAAAAAAAAAAAAAAAAAAAAAAAGAAATTCAGGATGGAATTCGGGGTTTGGAGAGTTATGATGATGTTCCAGAAGAAGACGACTTAAATATATTTGAATAAATGTAGATTGTTGTAGCGTACTTAAAAAAAAATAACATATCCCCTGAAAATAAGCCCTAGGGTGTCTTCTTGAGGAAAAATAAATATAAGATCATCTTATTTTCGGGGAAACACGGTACTTTAAAAACTCAAAACACTTTGTCTTTGGAGAATCTTGGGAAGCAATTTATTTTGAAAGCTGGTGAATAAAGGGAAAGAATCAAGTATTTATCCTGCCTTTCCTATAAAAACCGTTCTTTGGGATAACCAAACTGTTGATGAGAGAAATTTTTTCTTTAGAGTTCAGCGAATAAAATATTACAGTTTTTTAAACCTAATGAAGTAATGGACCTAGGCAATGGTAATTAATGGCTGTTGACATCTCTAATAGACACCAGTTATTCATGAATGTTTAATCACCTATGAAGTATTTTGCCCCCTTGTCCTCAATCTGAATCTGATCAAGCAACAACCTATATACAGAAAATATAGTGGACAAAGGGTCATGTTAAACATCACCCTCATAGATCTGCAATCAACACAATCTAGACTGTGGGTAACTACAGGACAAGCTTCTTGAACAACAAGGAGGGAGAGAAGAGTCTAAATCTATAAAGGCTCTTTAGAGATTTACAGAAACCTAAGAGACATATGAACCAATTGTAATGTATGAAACTTAATGGGGTTTAATTCAAACAAACAAACTGTAAAAAAAGTTTTGAGACAAACTTGAACTCTGATTGGAGAGAAAAAAATCTACACAACCATGCACAAATACCAGTTAAGACCTAAACCAGTCCTTACGAAAATCTACTACTAATAAAACACTGAAGTGTTCTAGGACAGGGCAAGCTATCAGATATGTTCCCTCTTTACGGCCCCAGTTTCTCAATGTATAAAATGAGGGAGCTAGACGAGATGCTCCCTAAGATCCCTTTCTCCTCAGTTACTCTGTGCTTCTACTGATGACCAAAATACCTGACTCACTATGAGCAAATTACTCACCTAGTTACTCCACCAAGAATAACTGCTCCAGCCACTGTTCCACTGCAGACCAGGAGCCATCGGCCCACCACCCGCTCAGCAGCCTTTGAAGGAAGGGTCACTGTACCCTTTCCAGATTGCAAAGCTACTTCAGAGATGGTGCTGTACTGCCCTGGCCTCAAAGGGCGCCTGATGCCACAGCTGCAACCACACTAAAGATCAAGACAGACAAATTACAACGAGAAACAGAGAAAGGCTGTTACCCACACTCAATCCCACTCTGACGAGGGTGAGGTACTCTCCGTATGGCTGCATCTCCACAGCTTCTGCCCTGGTAAATCATCATCTCTTATCTGGACTACTGCATCTACCTTCCAGCTCTTTTTCCTGTCTCAAGTCTTGCCTCACTCCAATCCATCCCAACACTACATGAATCTTTCTAGTCTCTGCATACCTCCCCCAGACTTCTACACCTAGACACGGATTATTTTCTTTCTCCTCTGGGTATTTTTTTTTTAGAGACAGGTGTCAATCTGTCACCCATGCTGGAGTGGAGTGGTGTGACCATAGTTCACTACAACCTACCTGCTGGGCTCAAGTGATACTTCTGCCTCAGCCTCCCAAGTAGCTGGGACTACAGGTACATACCACTGTGCCTAGATAATTTCTCTTATTTCTTCGTAGATACAGGGTTTTACTATGTTGCCCAGGCTGGTCTTGAACTCCTGGCCTCAAGAGATCCTCACCTCTCAGCCTCCCACAGTGCTGAGTATTACAGGCGTGAGCCACCATGCCTGGCCTCCTCTGGGTCTTTGAACATGATTTCTCTCTGGCTGGGACACTCCCTATCCCCTGACCGATGATACCTACTGCAGATCTCAGCTTAGAAGTCACCTGCTCTAGGAAGTGTTCTCAGACTCTGCAAGGTCTGCAACAGGTCACTCCTATAGCACATTGTACCTTCCCTATCACATCCCTTAATACACTCTTACTACACCGTAATGTGCAGTCATATAACACTTAATGACAGGGACATGTGTTCTGAGAAATGCATCCTTAGGTGATCTCATCGTTGTGTGAAATTCATGGAGTATACTTACACAAACTGAGATGGTATAGCCTACTACACACGTAGGCTATGTGATAATGGCCTACTGCTCTTATTTCAAACTCCTGACCTCAAGTGATCCTCCTACCTCAGCCTCCTAAAGTACTACGATTAGAGGCATGAGCCACAGTGCCCAGCCCAGCCTACTGCTCTTAGACTACAAACCTGTACAGTATGTTACTATACTGAATAATGTAGGCAACTATAACATGATGGTAAGTATTTGTATATCTAAACATAAAAAAAGGTAAATTAAAAAATGTGGTCTAAAAGATAAAAAGTGGTACGCCTGTATGAAGCAGCTGCATTATAATCTTATGGAACCACTATAGTATATGCAGTCATTGACCAAAATGTTGTTATAAAGCACATGACTGTACCTTCAGGATCATTTGTATCTCCTACTAAACTCTGAGCTCTGGAACAGCAGGGTCTGGTCAGTCTTGCTCTTTCCCTCCCGATAACTTTCTTTCTAACACCATTCCTTTACTTAATAAGACTTCAATAAAAATTTGACAAATGAATGAACTGTGACTTCCTCCAGGGCAGGAACCTTGTGGTATTTATCTTTTTCTTCCTGGTTCCTAATACATAATAATCATTTGATAATTTTTAATTAAGCAAATACAAGCCCCCTTCTGACTCTAATTTGAAGAGTAAAAAGATGCACGTTAGTTTCCTACTTCTGATTAACTGAATAACTTTAGACAAGTAACCCTAAGCCTCAATTGCCTTCTGTGTAGCATGAGGTTATAGTTCTCAAACCTAACTACTTGAGGCCTTTTAGCAAAAATCAACAATACGGGTAACAATTACTGAGTTTTTACCATGTACTAAAGGCTCGATGTATACTAAAGTATTTCCTCACAACAACCTTACAAAGTATTGTTATCCCCATTTTACAGATAAGGAAATTGAGGCACAGAGAGTTTAAGTAACTTGGCCAATATCACACAGCAAGTAACTGAAAGGTACTGAACCCAGGGACTCTGAACACAAGGAAACGCATTGTGGATGAACTGTAAGGAGCTACGGAAACGTGATGCGTGGCTCTGTTACCTTTATCCTGGCCCTTTCACCCCATCCCCGCTTCCGAGACTCGGGGTTCGCTGCAGTGCGGTACCTGTGCTCTAGGCGCCGCCCTGGGAACCAGGAGCCGGAGACACTGGCTCCCCATCAAGGCCTTCAAGGGCGGAAAAAGCAACCGCTGCATCCTGACGACTGTGCACGACCGCTACTTCCACACTCAAGCGCTCTACGATCTCTTTTCTCTGCCACCTAAAGGAAGAGCACTTCCGGGTCAGGCAGAACGCGCCCCTCCTCAGGAAACCGGAGCGAGCAGAGACTGCGCCTGCGCTGGTGACTCCGCTTTCGCTGAGGCTGCTGGGGCGTGGCTGTCAGGGACGCGCAGGGCGCGCTCAGCTGTTGAGGACGCGCTTCTCTGGGCGCGCGCGCCGGAGCCCAGTGTAGGAGTGGAAACCGCAGGCGCACGAGGGAGGAACGCGTGGACCATGAAGAGGCAGGGAGCCCCCTCTGAGCGGAAACGGGCGCGGAAACCGTCCGGGAAGGCCGGTGCGGAAGGTGGCGGGGAAGGGGCGGTCGGCCGACTCGGCTCGCTGGGGCGGGCCCCCGGGAGTCCTGGCCAGTCGTGATTCCCGCGGAGTAGTTTCCTCCAAACCCCTGGCTCTGTACGTTCTGTCATTGAGGCTTACCATGTGTGGAAATGGAGGCCTGACGAGGGGCAGGTAGCGAGAGTGGCCTGGCTCTGGAGCCACAAATGTGGGTTCGAATCCCGGCGCCACCACATACGGTGATACGACCTTGTGCCAGTTGGTTAACTTCATCTTCGCCTTTCCCATCACCTCACGAGGATAACACCCACCCACCCACCGCACCATCGCTATGATAGTTAAATGTCGAGGGCGGAGCTCAGCCTAACCTGCAGTAACCTGGAGCTGCTTAAGCGGGGTGGGGGTTGTCCCAAAGCCACACAGCTACCACGTGGTGGAACTTGTGGCTGCTCCAAGTCCCGAGTTCTTCCTGCCGTGCCAAGGCGGGATGCCATGGCAGGTGCCAGAGAGTTTGCTAAATCCCTTCTCTTCCTCCTCCCTGAACTCTTGGTTCTTCCAAACCAGCAGTTCTCAAACTTTCATCCCAGGACTCCTTTTTTCCTCCTAAAAGTTATTGAGGTCCTCAAAGATCTTTTCTTTATATATCTATCAAGTTAAACCATGTTAGAAGTTAAAACAAGTTTCTAAAATATTGATTGGTTGATCGATTAGAAAATAACCATAGTAAATCCATTGCACATTAACATAAATCACATAATTTTTATGAAAAATAAATATTCCTAAACCAAAAGTGGCAATATTTTATATTTTTGTAAACTTCTTTAATATCTGACTTAATGAAAGACATTTGGATTCTCAGACCTGCTTCTGCATTCAATCTGACATGTCAAATAGCCCCCGGAAAACGCCACTCCCATTCGTGAGAGAATGAGTGAGAAAGGCAAATAAAGTTTTAGTAGTAGTATGAAATTCGTTTTCATTCCATAGACTCTGAAAGAGTCTCCAGAGGCCCCCAAAGCTACCTGGACTAACTACGCTTTGAGAAATGCTGCTTCAAACAAATGTCTACTCTTTTGATCCCTGCAAATAACTTTGTTGCTTAGGACAACTGACTCCTTCCTGCCTTTTGTCAAGGCCTTTTGTGCACATCTCCAGTTCCTCCCTGCCAGGCTCCTTCCTTGTAAGAGGCAAATGGTACCTCTTCAGCATTGTTCAGTGCCATCAATCTGACAACTGGTCTGGTACCTATCAGGAAACTCATGGAGTTAATGTAGTGCTGTTGGTTAAGAGCATAGATTGACATTTAACTCTTTCACAGTTTGGGACTGATGGTCTTTTAAATAAGGCAGTTACAGTTTGATATTAGCAGATGATAGATTTTTGTTTTTCTGAATAAAAATTGCTTTTTTGATTATAAAAGCAATAATTTCAAATCCTATCCCCTAGTAATAGCCATTACCAGTATGTGGTGAACATTCTATTCTATCAGGTATCATTACATGAAGTATGTATTCAGTATTTTTAATTTTTAAAAAATTGTGTGCTTAACTTACAGAAAAAACTAAAAACTCTGTTTACATCACATCTTTAATATAGATACATAAATTTTTATGAATTTGTAATTAGCCTTTAGTAAATATTTGAGTCACTATTACGTACCATGGTAGACGCTGTGTTTGCTGTGGATGATGGTAAAGATTTCTCACTTTAGGACAAGTAAAAGTGGTCAGACACTTATCTGCATAAATAATAGGTAGAAGGTAAATAGTGTTTTCTTTTTTTTATTTTATTTTTTTTTATTTTTTTTTTCAACACAGGTGTAGTTGAAAAATAGTGTTTTCAAAAGGAACAATTAGTGTTTTAAAGAAGAACGTATAACTCATGAAGAGTATGTGAGTTCAGAAGAGGGAGATATAATGTCCTACTTTGGGAGAGAGAAAAAAATTATAGAAATGTGGTTTGACATGAGCTTTGGAATATTTTAACATTGAAAGATGAAGCTGGAAGGACTGGGTTAAGGAGAAGGCATTTGGGAGCCAGAGATGGGGATTGGAGAAATCTGGAGGCACACGGAGGAAATAATAAGTAGTTTATTAATAATAACTAATACTTTTTTAATTCTTGGTGGGTACTGTACACTTTAAATGAATTATTTATTCCTCACTGCTCTAAGGTAGGTACTAAAACCTACCTCGTTTTATAGAAAACTTAAGTAACTTGTCTAGGATCACACAGATTTGTGTGGGGGACACAGATTTGAAGTTTGTCCCTGCTTTTAAACATATATTCCTTATAAAGAAGTTTAAACATATTCTACAGGCATTGAGAAGCATTGTCAGAATCTAAGCTGGAATGTGATGGTGAAGTCTGTAGGAAGATTGACTTGGCATTTTTGCATATTTTCCTCAGTATAATTTCTTATACATATATCTGTGTACCTATTTTATAGTCCAGAGGTATCCATTTAATGATATGATATTTTATTGCATTCATGGGCCCTACTATATTTCTATTTCCCTATTATTGGACATTTAGATTTTGGCAACAAAATGTAAAATATTTGTGCTAAATTGGTCTAGATGGATAGTACTTTCACGAATTTGCTTTGATTTCCATGTATCTTAGGAGCAGCAAATGGATTTCTCATGGAAGTGTGTGTTGATTCAGTGGAGTCAGCTGTGAATGCAGAAAGAGGAGGTAAGAGAAATTAGAGAATGAGTAGCAGTTGGCTACCCTTTGAAGAATCTTAAAATGAATCCTGTGAACTGACCTTGGAAGCCCTTGTGATCTCTAAAGACTTAGTAATGTTTTCAACAATAACCAACTAGAAAACCTACTAGAAAATTATAATTTAGTATCTCCTGTCCCCTCCCCAGGTAGCTCACATTTTGAGTCAAGTATCCACAGTAGTTCTCACTCACTAATTTCATTTTTTATTGAACTTAGCAAAAAATTGAATTTTTTTCAAACCATTGATTTAAAGATGATTTCAGAGACTTTCATCATTAGGGCTTTTATCATTATCTTTTTTTTTTTTTTAAACATTAACTATTTTTGCCTCAGAGTTTCATTTGTACTCTGAACTTGTTTTAATAAGAAGCACAGACATTTCCATCATCTCAGGATCAGAAAAGTTTTAAATTTCTTATGGAAAAATATCAAACATACATAAAAGTATAGAGAATAGTATAATGAACTTCCATGTACCTATCACCCAGCTTCAACCATTTTCAACATATGGCCAATCTTTCAGTATCAGGGGTGAGCATACTTTTTCTGTTAAGAACCACATATTTTCATTTTTGCTGGATACATTTGGTCTTTGTCACTTTTCTTTTTTTTTTTAACAATCCTTTGAAAATGTAAAAATTTGTCAATAGAAATGAATGAAGTTCTGATATATGCTACAATATAGATGAATCTTGAAACATTCTAAGTGAAAGAAACCAGTCACAAAGTACCACATACTGTATGATTCCATTTATAGAAATGTCCAAAATAGGCAAATATATGGAGACACAGTAGATTAGTTGTTGCCAAGGGTTTAGAGGCATGAGGAGAAGGGGAGGCAGCTGTGAAAGGTCATAGGGTTGTTTTGAGGGGTGATGAAAATGTTCTAAAATTAATTGTGATGGTTGCAAAACTGTGAATGTACCGGAGAGCACTGGATTGTGTACCTTAAATGGGTGAGTTGTATGGTATGTGAATTATATGTCAATAAAGCTGTTTTCATTGTTGGGTTGGCTTTAATACAAAAACATTCTTAGCTTTCGGGCTATAACAAAAACAAGCTATGGCCATGGCCTGCAGGCCATAGTTTGCTGACCTCTGGCCTATATTTCTACCTTCCTCTCCCAACCCCAGATTATTTGAAGCAAATCCCAGACATCATGTCATTTCATTCTTAAATATTTCAGTGTGTATCTCTTAAAGATAAATACTCTTATTTTGTTGTTTCAATTCTTTGTTTTCAAAGGGCATATGTGTGTACACATACATAAGAAATCCATAAATGTGGAAATTATTAATGTATATTGTGAAGATAAGGTCCTTTAAAAACCTGCAATATCATTAACCTTTAAAAAAATAATTTCTTAATATCAAATACCCAGTTTTCAGATTTCTCCCATCGATTCATACAAGGGGCGTGTGTATGTTTTAACAGTTCTTTGAATTAGGAGCCAAACATTTCATTCGTTTGATATGTTTGTATATCTCTTTAAAATTTTCCCCTTTTTATTTTCTTACTTTAATTTTCTTTCTTGTAATTTATTTGTGAAAGAAATTCATCTCTTAGAGTATCCCATATTCTCAATTTTGCTGATTGTGTATGTGGCATCATTTAATATGTTCCTCTGATTACTGTATTTCCTGTAAAGTTGTAGCTATCTCAGAGGCTTAATCTGATTCAGATTTGAGTTTTGAGAAGATTACTTTATAGGTAACATTGTGTATTTCCTGTTCCATCACATCAGAAGAACATACATCTTGGTTTTTTCTGTTTTTGTGATATTAATATTGATCAATGGATTCAGTTACTGCTAGCCTAATCCATCCTTTATAAGGTTTCCTATCAGCTTTGCACCTAATAATTTTAGTGATCCATATTTTAGTAGAGGTTGCAAAATGGTGATATAAGTCTAACAATTATATTTCACTTATGAGCTAGAATACTTCTGTAAAGAAGAACTAGTAGAGCATGGTGGCTCACGTCTGTAATCCTAGCAGTTCAGAAGGCCAGGGTGGGAGGATCACTTGAGGCCAGGAGATCAAGACCTTGGCAATAGCGAGACCCTGTTTTTACAAAAAAAATTTAAAAATTAGCCACATGTGGTGGTATGTGCGTGTAGTCCCAGTTGCTCGGGAGGCTTAGGCAGGAGAACTTCAGCCCAGGAGTTTGAGGTTGTAGTGAACTGTCATGAGACCATGAACTCCCTGGGCAACAGAGCAAGACCCTGTCTCAAAGGGGAAAAAAAAAACTTTCCCTCATCAACTGGTCATGCTGAGGTTCTGTTTTGCATGAGAAACACAGAATACATGGTTGCTTCTTTTCCCTTATTTACTAATGTTTAGAATAATGAGCTTGCTGTCTATCTTCTAGTGAATTGTTTTATCATTATGAACCTAGATTTAGACGTATTGTAGGTTTTTTAATCCATTGTAGTTATTCTGCGTGTTGATGCTTAAAATGTCCTGTCTTTGGCCAGTGGGAACCTCTTTAATCTGGCTCCTGAGATCTTTTGACATGACCCTAGTAGTCTGATAGTTCTTTTGCTTTTACCATTCTCTTGGTCTTGAAATTATCTTGATTTAGCTACTCAAAAGTAACTTTGAGTTTTCTAAAGTTAGAATAATAAGGATTTTTTTGGAGAAAATTATGTTATTTTTGACAAAGTCAGTATTCTACTATGATCAATCCATAGTGGAATTGCATTTATTCTGTGTTACTTCTTTGTACAGGGAGAGGCAACCCTACGATACAAAATTTTAAGAGAACTAGCTTAACTTGAATGAACTCTTAAATTGACTATTAGTAACACAATGTAGGTTGCAGAATATAGTTGATATTAAAAATAAAGTTTTGTATTATAATTTGGTTTCTCTTAGACAATTTCTAAGACTCTTTGTTCTGTATTTGGGAAAAATGGGAACAGTTTGCTGTTTAATAAGAGTATATTTTAAAAGGCTTATTATGTTGAGCAATGCTTTTTAATCACAGGTGCTGGTCGGATTGAATTATGTTCTGGTTTACTGGAGGGAGGAACCACACCCAGCATGGGTAAGTGTCCATTTTTCACTGATTTTCTCATAGAAGTTTATATAGAGAGCCTAGAGGCAACTGATAATATTTCACTGGGGTCATTTACTCATGTCATGTTATATATGTTATGATATTGTATCAGTTAGGAATGCTTATGGTTGTAGATAAATCTATCAAAGATTTAATCAAACATGTTTTTTTCCTCACACATCAAAAAGTTGAAAGGTAGGTAGTTGCTGTTAATACTGGTTCAGCTGTACTGCAGTAACATGAAGGATCAGGCTTTGTTTAATCTGTCCATGCTGGCATCCTTGGTATATTGGAATCCTCTCCTGGTCTTCATGCTATTTTTGTCATACAATTTATTTTTACCTATGTCAAAACCCCTGTGCTATATTGTGATTTTTGTTTGGAGAGTCAATTACTTTTTAAAGAGATTTAAATAATAAGAAAACAATCATGTATTTACCCATGTGCAATTACCATTTCTGGTGTTTTTCATTCCTTTTTTTTTTTTTTTTTTTTTTTTGAGACAGAGTCTCACTTTTGTTGCCCTGGCTAGAGTGAGTGCCATGGCGTCAGTCTAGCTCAATCTCCTGGGCTCAAGCGATCCTTCTGCCTCAGCCTCCCAAGTAGCTGGGACTACAGGCATGCACCACCATGCCCGGCTAACTTTTTGTATATATATTTTTAGTTGGTCAATTAATTTCTTTCTATTTTTTTTAGTAGAGACGGGACCTCGCTCAGGCTGGTTTCGAACTCCTGACCTCGAGCAATCCGCCCGCCTCAGCCTCCCAGAGTGCTAGGATTACAGGCTTGAGCCACTGCGCCCGGCCTTCATTCCTTTTTATAGATCCATATTTCTCTCTGGTTTCATTTTCATCCTGCTTAAAGTACTTCCTTTAACATTTTTTGTTAAAAAAGTGTGCTGATGATACATTCTTTCAACTTTTGTATGTCTCAAAGTATCTCACTTATTTTTGAAAGATATTTTTGCTGAGTATAGAATTCTTTTTCTTTTTTTTTTTGAGATAGGGTCTTGCTCTGTAATCTGGTCTAGAGTGCAGTGGCATCATCATAGCTCACTGTGCAACCTCAAACTCCCAGGCTCAAACAATCCTCCTGCCTCAGCCTCCTCAGAAGCTGAGATGACAGCCATGCACTACTACACCTGGCTGATTTTTCTATTTTTTTTTTTTTTGGAGAGATGGAATCTTGTCATGTTGCTCAGGTTGGTCTTGAACTTCTGGCCTCAATTGATCCTGCCACCTTGGCCTCCCAAAGTGCTAGGATTACAGGCATGAACTACTGTGCCTGGGCTCTACTGTCATGTTGTGTTGTTTCTTACAAGAAATCTGCTATAATCAGTATCTTTGTTTTTCTCTATGTAATGTGTCTCTTTTCTCTGGCTGCTTTTAAGTTTTTTTCTTTTTTTCTAGTTATGATTTACCTTTATGTATCTTCTTCATGTTTCTTGGATGTACAAATTTATATTTTTCATCATGTTTGAAGATTTTTCAGCATTTTATGTGTTCTCCACTCCCTCCTTCAGAGAGTTCAGTCTTACTTATACTAGACTGCTTGAAATTGTCCCAGAACTCAACTAATGAGCTACTCTTTTTATCTCTCATCTCTCTTCTTTGAACATATGGAATAAAATAATAATAGCTCTATTGATGACCTTGTCTGCTAATTCTAACACCTGTATCTGTTCTGGGGTTGTTTCACTTGATTGATTTATCACCTCATGATGTGTCTTACTTTCCTGCCTGGTAATGTTTTTATTGGACACAAGACATTATGAATTTTAGTTTATTAGTTACCAGGTATTTTTGTATTCCTATAAATATTCATAAACAGTTAGGTTACTTGGAAACAGTTTGGTCCTTTTGGGTCTTGTTTTTTAAGATTTGTTAGACAAGTCTGGAGCAGTGGTCAATCTAGAGCTAATTATTCCCCACTGCTAGTCAAGACCTTTCTGTGTACTCTACCCAGTGCCCATGAATCTTGAAGTTTTCCTATTTGGCTGGTGGGAACAGGCATTATTCCTGGCATGGTGTGAATGACAGGCATGTTATTTCTAATCCTCTTCGGTGGTTCTTTCTCAGGCCTTATGTAATTTCTTTGCTTTCATGCATCAGTCAGTACTCAGCTGAATATCACAGGATGTTCTCTACAGATTTCCAGAGTTTTCTTTCTTTCTTCTCCGAACTCTCTCCTGCAAACTCTAGCTACCTTGGTTTCCCTGGACTCTAAACTTTTCTCCTCAACTCAGGGAATTTTCTGGGCTCCACCTGGAGTCCCCCTCCCTGTGCTATGGCCTGGAAACTCTCAAGGCAGTAAACTGGGTAAGTCGTAGGGCTCACCTCATTTGTTTCCCATCTTTCAAGGATCATTTGTCCTTCATTGCTTGACATCCAGTATCTTACAAACCATTGTTTATGTAGTTTGTTATTTGGTTATTATAGGTAGAAGGGTAAATTCAGTCACTGTTACCCTGTCTTGGCCAAAAGCAGAAGTCCCTAATAAATTTTTGACTCCTAAGTTATGCTACTCTGAGGTTGATGATAGCATTATTTAGTATAAAGTGTTCATATATGCAACAACCCTTTGGAATCTTCACAATGAAAGAAGGCATTTCTGACCATTGTAAAATCCCTAGGCATATCTGTCAGTTTGAGTGCAGTCTGATTTTTATAGCACCAATCATGATTTATTACTTGGTATTGGACATATTGCCATGGAAAATTGGGGTTCTTTCAGCAAGGAAATAGAAGGAAATTCATATTGAGTAAACAACTAATCATGCTTGTTACAGCTCTTATCCTATTGACAGTTTCTGAGTTAGTCATGTATATGTCATATTTGCATACTTTTATTCCTAGGTCTCTGCCTAACAAAACAGATAAGTAGAACTTTGCTCCATTTTACATATCTCTGTTAAAAAAAGTTTTGCTAAATTTCTTTGTCCATTAAAAGTATATAAACTTTGAGACTACTTAATCATCCCTATAATAGGCTTTAAATAGAGCTGTAATCAATTAGAAAGAAGAAACTGGATCTTATAGAATACTACACTGGCAGAGCATTGAACTTGGTAGTTATTACACTTTCAAACTTCACATACCAGTAAAAGGGTTCTGAGTCATAAGGAATTTTGTTGAGTCAACTGACAAGTGCTTTTAAATAGCAGTATCTTTTATTTTCTAAATTGTTCTTTTTGGCTGATTTCAGTGGTTTGTGCCTGTAATCCCAGTACTTTGGGAAACTGAAGTGTGAGGATTGCTTGAGGCTGGAAGTTTGAAACTAGCCTGGACAACATAGCAAGATCTTGTCTCTATCAAAAAAAATTATTTTTTAATTAGCTGGGCATAGTGGCTTGCACCTGTAGTCCTAGCTACTCAGGAGGCTAAGGCAGGAGGAGGATTGCTTGAGCCAAGGAGTTCGAGGCTGCACTGAGCTATGATTGGTCACTGTACTGTAGCCTGGGCAACAACACAAGACCCTGTCTTAAATAAATGTAAATACATATGTGCATACATACTTGCTCTTTTTAATGACCAGTGATATTTTATTGACTTCCTTGAGCTTTTAACTCACATTTGAATTTTAATCTGCTTTCTGTTCTTATAGGTATCCTTCAAGTAGTGAAGCAGAGTGTCCAGATCCCAGTTTTTGTGATGATTAGGCCACGTGGAGGTGACTTTTTATATTCAGATCGTGAAATTGAGGTGATGAAGGCTGACATTCGTCTTGCCAAGCTTTATGGTGCTGATGGTTTGGTATTTGGGGCATTGACTGAAGATGGACACATTGACAAAGAGCTGTGCATGTCTCTTGTGGGTAAGAATTTGTATCCAAGACCTAAAAGCTTCTAGTAATATATGCTCCAAATATAGAAAAACATCATCACAAAACCGACTCTTCAGTCATTCCTGCAGCCACTTACACTAACTTATTTTAAATAGTAGTTATTTAGATATTTCAGGTGGAGGGTATGTGTGGCAAAGCCCTCCTAATTCGTCTCAGTTGCTTTGGTCAGATTTTGCTACTGTTCCTATAGAATTTAAAGGAAGTTTATCTTGGTTCCTTTAATCACTGCACCAAAAACTTTAAAAGCTATTGTAGTTGGTGAGGATGGACCACCAAGTTGGGAATTATGATGAGGACAAAAGCAAACTACCTTTATTACTAGGCCAAAGTATTTCTTGAATCTTCTCAGAGGAACAAGAAATAGATGTAATGCTGCCCTTATAGTTGCCAGATTATATCATTTTTATTTGGTGCCTCTAAGGCACAGATGACCATTTCTTATATAAAAATCAGAGATTTTTGGAAAGATAGGAGTTTTGAATTTGTAAGGTTGCCATTTTATTATTATTTTAGTTTACTGTCTTTACATGTTAGAGGAAGAAAGTATAAAAAAGTTTCACCTCTCATGGAAAATTCCATATATAGTAAAGAGTGATGACATCTTCATTCATGTTGTTATATGACTTTCTTTTTATAGCTATTTGCCGTCCTCTGCCAGTCACTTTCCACCGAGGTGAGTCATTTCCATTTTAGAAGTTCTGTTGAGTGGTGTTAGTTTTCTAATTTCACCAACTGCCACAGGCTTTTTTTATGGAATACAATTCTTTTTATTTTATTTATTTTTTTTATGGAATGTTAACACAGGAAACAGTGTTGCCAGTTGTTTTCTTAGATCTTGGAACTAAAAGTTTAAAGATGTGTAATTTCTGAAAAATTTGAAGCCTCAAGAAAAGTTGTTAATAGTAGTAGGTGCTGGTGTTGGTGAGATTTGATTGAGAGAGGGAGAGCGTAAGCATTGCCTGCAAGTGCATGTACATGTGACAGCATTCCAAGCAAGAATCCTGGGATTCATTTTAATTAAGGTTGTGTTAGGTCATGTGCTGCAACCCCAAAAAGAATAAGTCGCTATGGCTGGTGAAATGAAATGTACTACCTGTCTTAAGCCAGATAAAACCATTCCTGGGGCTAGAGGTAAGGTCAGGTTTCTCAGATATAGACTCCCTAAGGGAAGAGAGGGTGGATATCTGAAGAAGACTTGGCTCTTACTAGGAAGGGGGAAAATAAAAATAGATGCTAGATAGTCAATGAACAGATGTCCACTATAGTGTATAAAATTGCTTTTCATTATTGATAGCCTGTCTGCGTCAGAATAATTTTTTAAAGTATCTGATAGTTTCATATAAGGAAGTACTTCCTATCAAAAATTCCTATGAATAATTAGTTATAGTTTCCATATACTTTGGCTAAAGCTTGGTGAAGTGGAAGAAGGAGAAATGTGTATTTTGCCTTCAGAAGGCATGCCATTACACATGAAAAGAAAGATGTCTTCAGTCAAATTGTTTTTTTTACTTGATATGCTTGAGAAATTATTTGATGTTTTTCTTCCTTATGAGTAAGCATTCAAAGATTAGTGTGAGATGGGGTTTTTTTTGGTGTTTTTTTTTTTTTTGCTATCAAAAATAGTTTATTTCCTTCAGGCTTTTTCTATAGAAATACAAAAATAACTGTTTACTTTTTAAATGTAACTTGACAATTATTTAATTATTTATTCATTAAAAAAAACAATGAGCAGCTGCATACATAGTGTGAGAGTTGATACCAATATCTGTGTCCATCTATAGAAATTAGAAATAAAGTATTTCTTTTTGAAATTATGACTCTATCAGAAATCTGTTTTCTTTGACTTGCTATTAGTAATACTTCTTTTTTTTTTTTTTTTTTTTTTTGAGACAGACTCTCACTTTGTTGCCCAGGCTACAGTGAGTGCCATGGCATCAGCCTAGCTCACAGCAACCTCAAACTCCTGGGCTCAAGCAATCCTACTGCCTCAGCTTCCCGAGTAGCTGGGACTACAGGCATGCACCACCATGCCCGGCTAAGTTTTTCTATATACATTAGTTGGCCAATTAATTTCTTTCTATTTATAGTAGAGACGGGGTCTCGCTCTTGCTCAGGTGGGTTTCGAACTCCTGACCTCGAGCAATCCGCCTGCCTCGGCCTCCCAGAGTGCTAGGATTACAGGCGTGAGCCACCACGGCCGGCCCAGTAATACTTCTTAAAAACTAGCAGTAACTAAAAGACGTTAGGCTGCTTAAAAGTCACCATCTTGAGGCTAGCCCCCCAAAAATATTTTAAACATGAAAAGTAATTTAATAAAACATTTGTCTGAAAAATATATAGTTTAAATAATTTGACATACTAAATAATTCAAAAAGGAAATCAGCCATATACAATATATTTTTCTGTTTTTAAACTAAGAAAATGACTTCAAATTTTCTGGTGTTTTCCTTTTCTTTAATAAGTTTAACAAAAATATTTTCATGTTTTCAAAATTTGTACAAATTTTAGGTAGTATGATAGTATAATACTGGTGAGAAGGTGCTGCCACCAAAAATGGAAAATCCTCTGTGGTAGATTTAGTTGCCTACATACGCTAAAGCTGTGGTCCCCAACCTCCAGGCGGTGGCCCATACTAGTCAGTAGCCTGTTAGGAACAGAGCCACGTATCACCTCCTGAACTCTGCCAACCCACCCTGCCCACCCTGTCTGTGGAAAAACTGTCTTCCATAAAACTGCTTAGGAACCTGGCTGCACAGTAGGTGAGCGGCAGGAGAGCCAGCAAAGCTTCATCTGTATTTACAGCTGCTCCCCATCACTCACATTGCTACCTGAGCTCCCCACTCCCTGCACTGACCATGGAGAAATTGTCTTCCATGAAACCAGTTCCTGGTGCCAAAAAGGTTGGGGACCAGTGCACTAAAAAATAAAATGAAGGGGCCTTTCCCAGAGTACCATTAGCACCTAATCCACCATAGATTAGAACTTCTCTATCATGCAGCAGTGCTGAGAACCAAAGCAGAAGCGTTTTTCTGTTTTGAGGTTCCTAGTGCCACTTTCCTCTAGAGGGTTCTGAGGAGGAGAGAAGTCTCTTACAAAGTAGGATGAAATTAAAACTTCATTTGGGGCCGGGCGCGGTGGCTCACGCCTGTAATCCTAGCTCTTGGGAGGCCGAGGCGGGCGGATTGCTCAAGGTCAGGAGTTCAAAACCAGCCTGAGCAAGAGCGAGACCCCGTCTCTACTATAAATAGAAAGAAATTAATTGGCCAACTGATATAAAAAAAAAAAATTAGCCGGGCATGGTGGCTCATGCCTGTAGTCCCAGCTACTCGGGAGGCTGAGGCAGAAGGATCGCTCGAGCCCAGGAGTTTGAGGTTGCTGTGAGCTAGGCTGACGCCACGGCACTCACTCTAGCCTGGGCAACAAAGTGAGACTCTGTCTCAAAAAAAAAAAAAAAAAAAAAAAAAAACTTCATTTGGTCTGTTGAAAACAACTACCCTCATGCTATGAATCTAGAATATGTGGGGTAAATGGATTAGTACAAAATACTAGTCAATAATGAGAGCCAAAGCTTTTTCTAGAACTAGTGAGTATGGTTTTCATTCTACATAGTCCAATTTGTTTGAAGCCTTAGAGCAGTTTTCCAAATTTGACTCACTTGCCTATCACATTTATAATTTTATAATATCTGGGTATTACCTGTGTAAATTTAATGATTTTCTTTAAATGAAATCTTAGATAAATTTATTTTAAAGAGAAACTTTTATAACTACTCAAAATTGGAAACTTTTGACTTACCTGCATTTAAGTAAATATACCTATTAAAATGTATACTGTGAAAATGATTATGCATACCAGTGGTATGCAGACTGTGGTGTGCTGAAAAACTGGCTCTTGGGGAAAAAGAGCCCTGATTTTTAGTATTTTCTGATTTCTGTGGTTTAAATACTTTACCTTCACTAATTTCAAGCTGCCAATGGATTAACAATCTGACTTGCAAATTCCTGAATATTTAATAATTGGCTTTTGCATGCCAGCACAAGCTCAGTCCATCATATCACTATATATTTACTATAATACATTTTAGAAAACACTGAATTAGAGGATATCTGTTCAAAATTCAAATTAGTTTTATTTATTTCAGCCTTTGACATGGTTCATGATCCAATGGCAGCTCTAGAGACTCTCTTAACCTTGGGATTTGAACGAGTATTGACCAGTGGATGTGACAGTTCAGCACTAGAAGGGCTACCCCTAATAAAGCGACTCATAGATCAGGTACCCGCAATTTCTTTTCTTTCTTCCTAAGACTGTTGTGGTTACCCTTGACATTTTGTTGTTCAGCTAGGTCGTGAAACTAAATATTACCAACTGTGGTTCCTTTGTAGGAAATAGCAAGCAGGCAGTAGTGTATTTATGTAATTATTTCTTTCACATGAGCATTTTTTTTAAGTCTCCCTCTTTTTTATTTAGGGCTGCCATAACAAAGTAAACATGAGCATTTTTAATAACCAAGGCTTTTAAAGTTAAATTATATGTAGACAGTACCTAAGGATGTGATCTAACTTGGATAACCACAGTAAATTTTACCTTTTTTATGCCATCAGCATCGCAGTTTTAAGTCACATCTTTTCACTGTTGGCCCATATTAGATTCGGGAGATCCCATATAAAATTTATGAGATAATTATCATCTCAAGGTAAATTCCAAACTAAAATTATATTCTTATTTCACCGTTCGCCATCTGCCAATGCATCTAATATTTTTCTCCTTTATGAGTTCTCCTGGTGAGCTAGCATCAGGGCAGATAGAGGGTGGCTTTGTAATTGCACTATGTCTGTGTTTTTCTGATGCCAGTCCAAAGGAATTATAAATTAGTGAGTACAGATTTTGAGATGAGAGAGTTCTATGTTTGAGACTCAGGTTTGACATTTACTTGCTGTGTTGAGTAGTTTACTAACCTTAAGCCTCTTTTTTCTCATGTGTGAAATTGAGATGAGTTTAACACTTCCTTTATAGAATTTCTCAGAGGATTAGTAGAAATAAGACTGTAAGAGCCATAGGACAGTGCTTGGTGTATATGCTAGGCCTTAATACATGTTCATTTCTATTATTATTACTGCTATTATTAATATTATTTAGTGTTCCTGTGTTGCTATCTGCTTACTTTCACTCTCTATAGCCATAAAAATAATTGTCAGAAATTTCTCTTGAGGATCTTATGTGACTTTGCTACTCTGGGACTTACTGATTTGATAAATATTTATTAAATATATATTAGGTGCAGGGCATTTTTACTGTGGTGGTGACCAAGGAGTGGGAACACATACATGTGTGTGTATAGTCACTGCCCTTACATGGCAGACAGGTACTTTCTTCTTTTTTTTTTTTTTTTTTGAGATAGATTTCATTCTGTCTCCTGGAATAGAGTGCAGTGGTGTCAGCATAGCTCACCTGCAACCTCAAAGTCCTGGCCTCAAGCGATCCTCCTGCCTCAGGCTCCCAAGTAGCTGGGACTACAGGCACACACCACCATGCCCAGCTAATTTTTCTATTTTTTGTAGAGCCCACCCTTGCTCTTGCACAGGCTGGTCTCCAGCTCCTGACCTCAAGAAGTCCTCCTGCCTCAGCCTCACAGAGTGGTAGGATTACAGGCATGAGTCACCATGCCCAGCCTTAGAGTACTATTTTTAAAAGGTACTGTGGGAGTATATTGGATTGGAATTAACCCCAAATTTGGGGGATGGAGGTTGGCAGTACTGTTACGGAAAGCTTCCCAGACGAAAACATGTCCAAACTACAATGTCCTACTTATTTCAAGGATTGTTCAGAAATTACCATGTAAAAGTGGAGGTTGATGGAATGGAGGAATTATCCCATGCAGAAGAAATAGTATATGCAAAGGCCTGGAAACAAAAGCGAGCATGACTAAGATACTGAAGAATGAGCAGAATGTTGAATGTGGAGAGAAGAATGATATCCAGAGCTTTGAAAATCTTATTAAAGTTTTTGTATTTTATCCTTAGTGCAGTGGGGAGGCCTGAAACATTTTAAAACAGAAAAGTTGATGAGTCAGGTTTCCAGTTTAAAAAGGTTACTCACTAAGGAGTAGAGAATAAGTTATAATTGTTGTCATCATGTACTGCAGTTCAAAATGTGTGTCAGTGTGTGCTTTTTGTATGTTAATTATCAGATGGCAGGAAAAGCTGGGTTAAATATTCTCATACACTAATTTTACTTGCAGTAACTACCGAGCAGTATAGTATACTGATTAAAGCATAGGCTTTGGGATTAGATGGATATGTTTAAATCCTGGCTTTGCCATTCACTAACAGTGACCTTGGGCAAATTAACCATCCTAAACCTCAGTTTTCTTATCTACAAAATTAAGCTAATAATAGTGCTTCCCTCCTAGAATACTTGTGAGGGATTACTTCAGGCAATGCTATAATGTCTGACACCTATTAAGTGCTTTATATTGTTAAATCACTTCGATAGCCTTAAGTAAGCGTATACTTCTAAATAACCTTTTATGGAAGGCCAGAAAAAGTGATAGAATTCATTTCTTTTTTATCTTTTATTTTCTTTTTGAGACAGAGTCTCACTTTGTTGCCCAGGCTTAGAGTGAGTGCCGTGGCATCAGCCTAGCTCACAGCAACCTCAAACTCCTGGGCTCAAGCGATCCTTCTGCCTCAGCCTCCTGAGTAGCTGGGACTACAGGCATGCGCCACCATGTCCGGCTAATTTTTTCTATATATATTAGTTGGCAAATTAACTTTTTTCTATTTATAGTAGAGACAAGGTCTCGCTCTTGCTCAGGCTGGTTTTGAACTCCTGACCTCGAGCAATCTGCCCGCCTTGGCCTCCCAGAGTGTTAGGATTACAGGCGTAAGCCATCACGCCTGGCCTAGAATTTATTTCTTTAAAAGTATTATTTGGGGGGGAAATGGGCATTTATTGAAACCTTAAAATCTGTACCCCCATAATATGCTGAAATAAAAAAAAAAAACTACCAAAAAAAAAAAAAAGTATTATTTGTCCATGTTTTTGTTGAAAGCCTGTGCTTAGAAGAAGGAGTTAAATGTGACTTTTTCCCCTCCTAAAATAGTTGCAGCTTTCTAGATGGTAAATGTTTTCTTTTACAGATGCTTTGCTTTAGCTCATTTGAGAACATGAAACATCCTTGTTCCACTTATTTCTCTAACAATTATTACATTCTATGAAGTAGCCCTTTCCCTCTTTCACTCTCTATTTTATTACCTTGCTTTATTTTCTTCATTGTACTTATTGCTACCTGAAATTTTACTGTATAAATACACCTGTCTGTTGTCTTCCTTGAATGTGTAAACTTTATGAGAGTGAGAACTTTCTCTTATTCACCATGTTGGAGAGGAAAAGCTTTTCTGGTATCTTCTTAGGCATTGTTTTTGTGGGCTTGCAAATTATACTAACTAAAGACAGATTAGCAGGAGAAAAAACAGATTTTGATCACGTATATAAGTACATGTATGCTTCAGAAATGTGACTTGGGCTGGTTAGAATTTGGGGCTTATGTACCATGGTAATTGTTCCATGGAGAAGGGAAGGGAGAGAAGGCCACTTATGGGGAAAAATGATTTTTGGAAAGATAATTGGACCCTTAGGAAAATTGGTAGGTGATATGCTAGTTTCCTGACAATTTTAATGCCTATCTTCCAGAATTATCAGAAGTTAAATCAATATAGTCACAGTTAAATGGACTGGTGGTTTGTTTAGTTTGTATGGTAAATTAGGGAATTTTGTTGAGGATACAGAATTTGAGTGGACTTTTGTTTTTTTGATAATTTATAGTTACACTGTGGTCTTTCTTTTCTGCTGAAATCTGGTTTAAATTCAACTATTTCCATCCCATTGCATACCAAGAACTCAGAATTAGTGTTATTTTTCAATAATTGCTTTTCTTAAGGTGGTATGATTATTCAGTGTTTATATCATACCCTTCTGTTCTTTGTGTTCATAATAGTATGAGCTAAAGCAATATAATAAAATAATATTTCTGGGTAGAAAGTTACTATGCTGAACATCTTATTTGTTCAAGATCCCAAAGAAATAGAGAAGATCTATTGAAAATTAGACATTAATAATAATTTTAAAAATTTAATATAGTTTGACTCATGTTTCTGTAGTCACTGCCTTATTATCCCATTCAAAAGAAAAATATTAAAATTTACATGCTTATTTTTTTTCTTTTTTCAGGCAAAAGGCAGGATTGTGGTAATGCCAGGTATTTATTTATCTATCTGTTTGCTAGCATCAACACTGAACTATAGTGGAGGAAGAGCAAAGGAAGCAGGAAAATGTAGGAGAAAGTATTAGTACACAACACATTAGTACATGGTATTCACAAAGAAGAATATATAGTTTTATTAAAATGTTTAAGATTGGGACATCCATACTGAAATTTAAACCTTTAGATAAGGAGAAAGACATTCTAACAGGAATTAGCTCAGAGAGGAGCAAATAAGGAAGTAGATTGAAATCAAGGTTTTCTCATGTTTGCTCTCCCATGTTATAGAATGTTATGAATTTGGATGTTTATCTCTGGTGAGGCATACCAAGTTTGATGCTGTTATACTATGTTAAGGCCAAATGTCCTAGTTACACCCAACAGGGTGTAAGCAAATGTTTAGGCAACATCCCTGAATAAATATAAATACTCTCTCAGTTCATGGAAATCTCTGATCCCCAAATTCTTTCTTGTAGCCAGAATAATTTGATCATGTGCTCCTGATAGTAACCATAAGATCAGTTAAGTACATAATGGCTTATTAAAAATGAAAAGATGGTACAGTTTTTAAAGAATCAGATAACACAACCTAGAATCAGAGTGAGACAAATATAAAGGCAATCTTAATTTTTTCTTTTTAAGTTTCTCAAACATACATAAAAAGTAGAAAATAGCATAATGAATACTCACATGCTCATTCCCTAGATTTAATGTTTTGCCATGTTTGTCTCTTTTTTAAATCCTGAAGTATTTTTTTTATTATTTTTTTAGAGACAAGGTCTTGCTCTGTTGCCCAGAGTTGAGTGCAGTAGTGCAATCATAGCTTACTGTAGCCTCAAACTCCTAGGCTCAAGTGATCCTCCTGTCTCAGGCTCCTGAGTAGCTGGGACTACAGGTGCACACCACCACACCCAGCTAATTAAAAAAAACTTTTTTTTTTTTTTTTTGTAGAGATGGGGTTCTTGCTATGTTGCCCAGGTTGGTCTTGAACTCCTAGCCTTGAGCAATCTTCTCACCTCGGCCTTCCAAAGTGCAGGCATGAGCCACCATACCTAGCCATTTTTCTTGCTTTTTTTTTTTAATGACATTTAAAGTCATTAAAAGGTTGGACCATTTACCCTGTAAAATGTCCTACTTTCTGGATTTATCAAGAGTGTTTCCTTTTAATTGTTTAGCTTGTTCCTCTAGCCTCTGTTTTTCATATAAACTGGTAGTTAGAGCATAAGGTGTGAATAGATTCTGGTTGAACATATCTGATAATACTTTGTGGGTGATTCTGTATACTTCATGTGACATCACATCAAAAGGCCTCAGTCTCTGATAATCTCACTACCAGTGATGTTAAGAGTGACCAGAGTTCCAAATGATCACAACCAAATAAAGGATAACTTTTAAAAAGAGGCTATATAAAGAGTATTGTCAGATATTTAAGAAAGTTTTAACCTGTAGCAAGTCCCTGAAACATGAGCTTTAGGAAGTGTATATTATCTATCAAATTGGGACCCTTTATAGATTTATCAAGGAATATTAAAGACACTTACTGAATCTAGTGCCTTTCCATTTAAGACTAAATGTATATAGTCTTGACAACTAATACCCAGACTTAGGCAGTTGTTAACATTAAGAATACCTTTGCTTAATATGCAATTACTAAGTTATCTACTATGTGTAGCACATTACTTGGTATGCAGAGTTATATAAGAAACTACTTTCTCAAGAAGCTGACAGTCTTGTGACTCATGAGGATGTTATATACAAAAATATTTGTAATTTATGTAACAAATCTTATCATGCAAATGTTAATTATATGCCAATTATAATTATATATATTATATGCTAATTGTATGGTAGATGTGAAAACAGAAATGAATCCTTGAGGAACTACTTGAGGAACTCTCAGAATAGACTTATAAAACAAATCATTATAATTTCATGTAAATAAGTACCAGCATGTAAAAATTCCTGGGTAAGTCAATCTGAATGCCTAATGAGTATTCATCATTGGGAAATATAAAGATAAATAGAACATAGTCGCCCCCTAAGAACTTTCATAATGAAACTTACAACATTTAGGCTCTGGTTTCTTCATCTATAAAGAGAGCAATATTGAACTAGTTGTTCTCTGGGGTCCCTTTTAATCATAAAACTGTTTTAGTCTGTGTTTGGAAAATGTATTACCCATGTACTAAAGTTGCTATCAATAACTGAGCAACATGTGTGTCAGTGGCCAGATGTTCTGTTATTTGTTAGAAGGAAATAATATATTTATCTCTTAATACTTACAACAAGCTTGTGAGGTATACAGTATTATTCCTTTTATTAATGAAAAAGTTGAGGATCACTGGATTTAAATCATTTATCTAAGATCACACAGCTGTGAAGAGCTACAGTGATGAAGCCAGGATTCCAAACTAAATCTAGCTTCTTAGTCTGTATTTTTCTATTTCTTAGGGCTTAGCGATACTATTGTACCACTAAGAAAAAAAGAAAAAGCCAAGTTAATGAGTCTGAAAGAATTTGTAAATACAGATTATTTCAGCAACTTGAATAGCTTGAGATTAATGTCACTAAAAGATATTGAATACATTGTATATATTAGGAGACAAAGATACAAAGATGAATAAACTAATTTCATATTTATAATCTGATACCAATTCAGAATATGATTCTTTATAAATATTTATAAGATTGTTTATCAAAACAAATGTCATCATAAAGTACTTGGTTATACAGTTTAAAGTAGAATCAGATTCTTCTGCAAAAAGAAACAAAAAGTTGATAATTGTGACTAATAAACTGTCTGACACTGTGCCTTATTCCTATTTCCAGTGAAGTCAGTGTACTCTTCAAATCCTGGACTGGAGACAGAACCTTAAAGCTTCTCTCTTTAAGACACATCTTTGAAGTTGTGCTTTTGTAGATTCTTCTCTCCCTGTCCTTACCTTTCATTTTAGTTTGTATTTGCTTTAATTGAGGGAAGAGCAGGGATAGAGCACTCAATGATTTTCCTTGAACCAGAGTAATTTTTTTAGATTTAAAGTCACTAGGTTATAGAATTGTTATATAAACCAGTGGACATATAAGATTCTATCACATAGGTTCTATGACCTTAGTAGTTCTCCAGAGTCTGTAATCTGTATCTTTTATCACTTTCATAATCTCATTCTAGCTTAGTAGGGAGAGAGTAATTCTTAAATCAATGAGAATTTTCAGAATGGGGATTCCAGGTAAAGCAAGCAGTCATTATTCATTAAATTTTATGCAAAATTCTATTACTTAATTCAAATACTTAATGTATTACTTATCTTTCCAATAGGGGGTGGCATAACAGACAAAAATCTACAAAGAATCCTTGAGGGTTCAGGTGCTACAGAATTCCACTGTTCTGCTCGGTCTGCCAGAGACTCAGGAATGAAGTTTCGGTAAAAATGTGTTCTTTGGTTCAAACAAGAAGGAATGAGATAGATTAATCTTTATTTCCCCATATAGGAAAACCTTAGTTGATGCCATGATTAAAGAATGGAATGTTGTGATTACTATGTAAGTATTGTTGTTTTTGCAGTTGAAGAACATTTCTAAAATGGTTCTCTTCCTGCCTTAAATAATCAGGCTCTTCTGAACTTGGGTGAACCTTTGTATCTCTAAGACATTGAGGGGAGATCCCTGCTCTCCTCTCTAAAAAATACGGAGAACTTGGACCAGGTAATAATAAACTAATTCAGTGGCTAAGCTTCAAATGAATCAGATTATGCGTGTGTACCCATTTGCCTAAGATTTCCTTTAGCAAAGTTAATAACAACACCATGGGAGAGTTATAGCCATTTTTCTCTCTCCTACCTTTATTTATTTTATTTTATTTTATTTATTTATTTTTTCAGACAGAATCTCACTTTGTTGCCTGGGCAAGTGTCATGGCATCAGCCTAGCTCACAGCAACTTCAAACTCCTGGGCTCAAGCGATCCTGCTGCCTCAGCCTCCTGAGTAGCTGGAACTACAGGCACACACCACCATACTCAGCTAATTTTTTCTATATATTTTTAGTTGGCCAATTAATTTCTTTCTATTTATAGTAGAGACGGGGTCTCACTCTTGCTCAGGGTGGTTTCAAACTCCTGTCTTTGAGCCATCTGCCCACCTCAGCCTCCCAGAGTGCTAGGATTACAGGCGTGAGCCACCACGCCTGGCCTCTCTCCTACCTTTAATACTTAGTCTGTCCTTACCTTTGCTCTCTATTTTCAGTTATTTTGAAATTTTATCACTATGAAGGAATTGTAGCTACTATGTGGGGTTTTTTTTAATACTTGAAGACTCCTGTAATTTTATAGTAGTTGAATGTTTCCATTTATAAGTTGGGAAAAATATGATGTAAAAGAAGCAAGATCTTTAAAACTTAAATTTCCAGATATAAAGTCAAGTATACTGTCTGGTGGATTCAGCTACTAAATGTTTCAATTAATTAAATTTCATTCATTAATTACAATTAATTAATGAAAATTATGGAATATGGTAGTCCAGGGTCTTTGACTTACCCTTGTTCCTAAGCTATGAAATAGCCTATAAAATGAAGTTCTAATAGGAGGGCTTATTTAATAACTTACATAATTATCTGTTCCTTTATTTCTATTGCAGAAATGTATCTGTTGCCATGGGCGCCTCACTTTCTAACTCCGAATATTCTCTAAAAGTAACAGATGTGACCAAAGTAAGGACTTTGAATGCTATTGCAAAGAATATCCTGGTTTAGCCAGACCTCTCTGAGAGACATGGATGTCACAGGATGAAGGTAGAAGTATAATCTACAATTCTCTAGGACACAGCTTTAACTTTCTCTGGCCAAGATAATCTTTTAAGTTTCAAGTGGCTGTGGAGAATGTTTCCAAGAAGAAAAAGAACTTGCAACAGAGATAGTTACTTCCTTTGCATAATCATATCAACAATTGCCATGGTAATGGTTAAATCTGGTCTGTGATTCTTCCACAGACAAAAGCTTAGTCTGTTTTCATTGGAATTAATTGATAAACTGGGAAAGTTCATCTCCAAGGTATGAATTCAGTATTTTGCTTTTTCATTTGTAAAATAAAAATTTCCATTCTATTATGGTATAGTCTCTTATTCATTTACTGAATGCAGCCTGTAGCCAAGTATGAAAGGGAAGATGTATTGTTTTTCCTTCATTTTCGTTTTCTCTTTTCATTATGTACTCAGTGGGTACAGAGTAAAATGGTACAGCATGAAAACTGCCAGACTTGGGAAGCAGGACATAAAAGTTCCTAGACAGATAAAGGCAGAAGTGATCTCTGGTGTTCACCAGGTTTCTTCTACTTCTGTAAGCTCAGAGAAATGGCTTAACTGTAAGATCCATCTGACAGTGTACAAAGACCTATAGTAAAAACTGAGTAGGTTAGAGAAGTTATAAAAGTAGCTGTTTATTTTAACTAAGGCCACAGACAGGGAAGATGGATTCTAGTGATGAAAGATGTTTGTCCCATGAGCAGGTCCTAAATGACAAAGTTCATCCCTAGCCATGTCTGTCACTTTCATATTTATAATCTCATTTTATACAAATAACACACTAGTAATAGAACTGTTGTTCTTATTTTAAGAGAGTAACAAGCATAAAGAGCTTGCTCTTGGTCAGGAAACTAATTAATGGAGTCTCTGAATTACATGCACAAATTTGGGTACTAATGAATGCATATACCAAGAACTTTGCCTTTATTTAAATATATCCCTTCTTTCACCTTTAAATCTTAATTTCAAAAAAAAAAATCTTAATTTCTTTCTTCACTTTTTCAGGCTTAATTTCAACATAGAATATTTGCTAAGTAAATTATGAAAATATATGGGAGTCGAACTTAAAACTAACAGTAACCTCAATGGGGGTTTTTTTTTCTTGCTTATCTAGATTATTACTAAAGGCAATAAATATCCCAAAAATAGTTTTCCTGTTGGCTTTGGAATATAGATGTACAGTATGTAACTATCATGTACATATGCAAACATAATCATATTTAGCCTAACCCTCTCTCACTCTTGGACTTCACTCTGGATTCTCCTGAGACAGGAGAATTCAATGTTATCATCTGGATTTTATTTAAACAGATTAGCTAGGTATTGAGAGGTAATGGGAATTGCTCAAGGTCTAACAATAAATTAGTGTTGTCTATGAGACTTGAACACTAGGCTTCTAATCTCTCAAGTTTTCTGTTTTAAAATGCTTCTGGTTTGCAGATATGATACAGAGAGCAGTACTCCCAGGCAAATCAGACACACTTGGGATCATATCCTGGCTCCCAGTTTAACCATGAAAAGGTCAATTTATTGAACTTTAATGCCCTCATTTGTAAAATTAAACATTTGTAAAATTAGTATAGCTAAATGATATATTAAAGCACCAGATACATAGTAAGTACTCAATAGATATTCTTTTCTCTTGGGTTAGCTTTCTAGTATCAGTCTTCCATAGTATAAATGCCTTTCCTGGGAAGCCAGGCATTGAGTAATGAAGCCAGCACTTACTTTGTGCCCTCCACTGTGTGAATATAAAAGAAGTATAAGGTAATCCATCCCTACCTCAATTTTTCTATACTTTAGTCCTGTTTTTAGTATTTACTGATTATTTCATGTGTGTAAGTTTCTTCTCAACAATATTGTAAGTCTTCATACATTATACCCACCACATTGTATACTGTACTCTTTTTTTTTTTTTTTTTTTTTTTTTTTTTGAGACAGAGTCTCGCTTTGTTGCCCAGGCTAGAGTGAGTGCCATGGCATCAGCCTGGCTCACAGCAACCTCAATCTCTGGGGCTCAGCGATCCTACTGCCTCAGCCTCCCGAGTAGCTGGGACTACAGGCATGCGCCACCATGCCCGGCTAATTTTTTGTATATATATTTTTAGTTGGTCAATTAATTTATTTCTATTTTTGGTAGAGACGGGGTCTCACTCAGGCTGGTTTTGAACTCCTGACCTTGAGCAATCCGCCCGCCTCAGCCTCCCAAAGTGTTAGGATTACAGGCGTGAGCCACCACGCCTGGCTGTATACTGTACTCTTAGTATAAATTACTTCGCTAGTAGAAAAGACAGTAAATTGGGAGTCAGGACATAGGTTCTGATCCTGACTCTATCACTGACTTTGGTAACTGTGCTGGATATCTTCCGTTTGCCCCTCAGATCCATTTTCCACTTTGCTCTGCTCTGTGTCCTGAGAGGCTAACTGTATGGACTACATCAGTAGCTGGGGCTTGGTCCGTGGAAAGTGTCAGCAGGAGCTGGGAGGGTGGGAGGTTCCCTCCCTACCAAATTATTGTGAGTTGGCTGTGTCCCTTTAGGGATCATTAGCTCTGTCGTTTGTTCCTCTTCATACCTTTTCTGGGTTCTGATAACTAGCCCCCCCCTTGCCTTTTGGGCCTTATGGGGTGGTAACATCTGGACTGTTACTAGTCCTGACTTACTACACTGTTTTTTCCTTGTTGGTTTTCTTAAACTATACCCATACTTTTGTATATAGTTCCTTTTATTAAACTCTCCTCAAATTGTTCTGTTAAAGTATACCATCTGTTTCCTACCAGGACCCTGACTGATCAGTAAGTTACAGCCTTTCTAGAGTTCAATTTCCCCATTTGTAAATTCTTTCCAGCTTTAATACTTTGTGTTTCAATCATCGTACACTTTCTTAATAAAGACAAATTAATAATAGCAATTATGTTTCATCTTTATCTTTTCTGGATCCTTTATGCACTACCTCAAGGAAAAGCAGGCAGGCGTTAATTATTTTTTTTTCTCTAAAAAGATGGGGTCTCCCTATGTTGCCCAGGCTGGAGCACAGGCATGATTGATTATAGCACACTGCAGCCTTGAACTATCCTAAAGCAGTCTTCTCCCTTCAGCCTCCTGAGTAGCTGGGAGCATGCCATGGTGCCTGGCTAGTAATTGTTTTTTAATTAATTTTAGTTACTACTTGAATGTTACACAATGTTATGCATCCTAGCAAAATAATTCTATTAAATAATTATCTTAAAGTAACTGTATCTTTGGGACATTTGTATCATTTGTGTAATTCTTTGTATTTATCTTAAATTCTATTCCCAAAGCAACAACATGATGTTACTTTCTGGTACAGGTTTATTTCGTGAACTTTTATGATTCCCCATCCCCACACGGAGTACATCAAGTGCCTTTCTTTATCACTAAGCCAACGCTTACAACTTAGTCATCTCACACTCACCTTCCAACTCACCCTAACAGTTATTTCTACCTAATATTGAATCAGTCCAGCATTTTTGACAAGCACATAGACTAAGAAATTATATGACTTTAAAGAAATTTTCACTTAAAGTTATATTGACTGATTGTAGCAAACATCATATTTAATGGTGAAATAGTAGACACTTTTCTCCTGAGATTGTAAGCCAGACAAGGATACCCTCTATCAGCATTTCTATGCATCATTTTGCTGGCTGTCTTAGCTAGTACAGTAAGAAAAAAGAAAAATTTAAGGATTGGAAGGGAAGACATAAAACTAATTCTTTGCAGACATCATGATTATATAAAGAAAATCTTAAAAAATCTATTAGAATAAATAAGTGAATTCAATAAGGTTACTGGATACAAAGTCAATATATAAAAATTACATTCCTGGCCGGGCGCTGTGGCTCACGCCTGTAATCCTAGCTCTTGGGAGGCCGAGGCGGGCGGATTGCTCAAGGTCAGGAGTTCAAAACCAGCCTGAGCAAGAGTGAGACCCCGTCTCTACTATAAATAGAAAGAAATTAATTGGCCAACTGATATATATATGTAAAAAATTAGCCGGGCATGGTGGCGCATGCCTGTAGTCCCAGCTACTCGGGAGGCTGAGGCAGAAGGATCACTCAAGCCCAGGAGTTTGAGGTTGCTGTGAGCTAGGCTGACGCCACGGCACTCACTCTAGCCTGGACAACAAAGTGAGACTCTGTCTCAAAAAAAAAAAAAAAAATTACATTCCTGTGTTCCAGCAAAAATTATAAAATGAAAACTTTTATTTATACAAATATAAAAACAAATTATACATTTTAAATAGGTACAGTTTATCATATGTCAGGCTGCTTTTAAAAACATGATACCATGTATAACCATGCATAATAAAATCAATACAGTATCAAATGCCTGGGAATAAATCTAATGAAAGAAAAATTCTTTAAAATTAAAAATATATATATTTGTATTTTTATTATGAAAATTTTGAACATGCCTGGATCCCACAATTGTTAATAATTTGCCATATTTGCTTCTCTTTCTCTCCTTTCTCTCTGAGTAAATCTCACCTTCTGCAGAACACAGTACTTCTATCAGTGTTAGCAGTTAAGAAAGGCTAGTACACCATGGAACTATTAAATACCTGTGTTGCATTTCAGTCACTATATTATACTTTAACTTGAGGTAGTCTTCTCCATGAGACCACCTAACCAGTATTACATAGCCAGCCCACTCATCTGAATTTTCCACCAAATGCATTGGGCTGAATAGAAAAAATAAATTATTGGTAGCACCTGGAAATAAACCTTTAGAAACTTTGATCTGATCGCACCTAATTCCAAATCTGTCTTTATGTTTTGGAGATTCAATTGAAATCCATTTTCTTCTGCATAACAACAACAACTAGGTAATAGTTCTGTCTAACATCCTGTGATTGTGATTTCTAGGATTTTAGACATTAGGGATTTTTAGACTTTAGGGATATAGATCTTTTGGGATTTCAACATTCAGGATTATGGCATTTGAGGTTATGTCTTTCAGTTTTATGTTCCAAATGCTTCTTTATGTATAAAACACAGATATACATATAGACCATAAATAAATATATAGCATATACATGGTATTAAAATTTCAGGAGGTGGGGAGCAATTAGAAAAAAGGGGCCAAAAAGTCTGATAGAGGGGAAAAATCATAACTATAAATCATAGTTAAAGCTAAATAAGTTAAAATGTGGTATATTATAAAATGGATTAATGTGAACTCATTTTGGTTAAAATATATAGTATTTGGCAATATGTCATAGTATAAGCATCACCCAGAAGTGCAAAAATAATGCAGGTGTTTCAGGAAATCCAAATCTTAAAA